CCAGGAGCACGCGAGAGCCGAAATTGCTCATAATTCAAAACACCGTCTGCTCAGCTATGATCAACGATCATAACTCTGGAGGAGCGGGCGAAATCACTTCGCGCTTGAGGACGGTGAGAGAACAAAAAAAGATGCAGGGGAAGCCTTAAAACGTTGTCACGGTGCAACCGCAGTGCATGCTTATAGACGAACCCCTATAGCCACGATTCCTGCTTCAAAGATGGAGTTCAAGCTGCGCTCTACGAGGCGTGCTACTGACCTGACTATAGACTTCCAGTTATATGCACTACGCGCACGCAAAGGTCCCCATATTAGGCGGTTCAGAGAAAATAACAGGGCACGCCGCGGGTTCAGGTCGCAGCTCTCCAGTTGTCATTACGGGGCCAGTGTGGGGGCGCTCTGAGCGTTTTGTTCCTTTCTGTGCCCGCTGTGCGCGGCCTCATGATCCAGTCCCGATTTTACGGGCGGCTCCTTTTGAAAGGTATTCACACGCAGCCATTGTCAGAACGTTCGAGCCCATTCGGCGCATGGAATGTGAACACGCGAACTCACGCTTCGGGTGACGCCGCTTGAGTGCCCATTGCGTGATACGTGATAATTTATTAAGATAATGACGATGAAGGTATAAGTGGAATCGTGATCATCCAAGAACGCTATTACGACAGTCGCCTTACATCCCGTCTGTCTAAAAAAAAAGTGCGCTGCAAGCTCTGCGACACATTGTGTTGCATCGTCGGCACAAAGCATTCGTTGTTGTGAGGCGTCCAGCTGCGGATGACGGAACAAAACAACAACGAAAACTGGGAAGAGGCGAAGTATGTAGGAAAGGGCGTTTCAGCTCAACTGTAGCGAAACCCGTCGAGGGGCGAAGCACGTAGTGTTTCAATTTATATATATATATATATATATATATATATATATATATATATATATATATATATATATATATATATATATATATATATATATATATATATATATATATATATATATATATATATATATATATATATATATTGATGGCTCACTGTGGTGGATCAACTGCTGCCTTCATTCATTTTTGATAGACCGGTAACGGGACGTTGTGGCGCATGCCCATATCTATGATGCACCGCCACAGGAGACGCGGAGAAGCCCAGCAGCCGCTAAGGTGTTCGGCACCTAAACGCGGTCCATTGTTCGTGCTCCATCAGAATTAGGCAGCAAGTGGCTTCTCGTGGATACGTCTCTGACGAGAATCAGAAAATTAAATGTATAAGAAAAATACATTCGTATTCACAAAACAATTAACACGACGACGAATAAAAAGAAACACAGACAGGCGCTGTTAATTTTTCAGAGTGGATTGGAAAACTTATGATGAGACAAGCGCCAAAAAGTGCAAACAATCAGAAAGGACACATGGCTTTTTGGCGCTCGTTTCATCATGAACTTATACCAACATGCCCAACTGGCAGTCATCCTAAATGAAATTTATAATGCACCAAGTGTTCAAGATTTTAGCTCGATTCCATACCACTAACCCAGCGGCTGAGGTTAATTAGGCTATTGCTCCTGTCGTATCGTACAAGTTCCCTTAATTGTCCACGTCGTACAATGCGGCTAACCAGTTTAAAGGACACCATATCTGCCAAAAAATAGGTACGAACCTGACCAAAGCAATGTACAAAACGACGCGCGACTAATATTAAAAACGACAATACAAAAACAAAATTGCGCATAACATGTACAACTTCACACAAGGTCGCGAGAAGACAGAAGCGCAATGAAAAAAAAAAAGCAGCACTTGTGGGTGGTTGCCTTTGTGCCACCAGTTTTTAGGCATTCTATTACGCTATTACGAATAAGTGAAATTTTTGACAAAAGAGGAGCTTGCCAATTGTATTTTTACTCTGTATAATACACACTTACAAGTCTATGCACAGCCAGTAGCAGCAAAAAGACAAAGCTGGTCGCGGCACGCCGGTACAAACACGTCGTGGCGGCTGCGAGGACTGTCTCGGTCGGTGGGCGCGGCTGATAAGCGACGGCATGGAGGGTTTTTTTTATTTTTTATTTTTTGCGGACACTCGACGTTTTATCTCGAGCCTTAAGAGCTGCCGCTCTTAATGACCAATTTACAAAATAGCACGCGAAAAAAAAATAACAAAGAGCGAGAGAGAGAAGAGTGGGAACGAAAGCCAGCAGACGATGTCGATCTCCACAATTGCCGACTCTGGCGGGCGAAAACTCGCACGCTGCAAAATACAAACGCGCCGAGCAGCAGGATAAAATAAACGGCGAGTCGATATCCGAAACAAGTGCATTCACGGAACACGGTCGGCCCGTCTCCACTTCCCACGGCCCGGCGGTGCAGTTCAAAGAAGCTTGTCTGGTTTCTTACTTCTCCCACGTTGCTTCTTTTATCCCGTGGCTAACCTTGCCTCAGAGACGTTTTTCTTTCTTTCTTTTTGTTGTCTCGGAGTCCGTTCTTACGCAACGATCAAGGTCAGGAATGACGTCCCATCCACGAGGCGTGACCGCTCGCAGGTCGCGGAGGCAACACTGACCTAGTTCCGAAATTTCCGGCGGCGCCGAGCGGAAGACCCGGTATTTTGCCCCTCTCCCATTCGCCTCCTTGCCCAGGAGGAAGATAGAGGAGGGTCCCAGACATAATGGCGCTCTTGGCCTTCTTCTTGGTCGTCGCCGTTCCTTCTCTTGTGTTCGTCTCATCTTCACTTCTACGTCCCTTCTAAGCCTTTACAGCATTTGTTTCACAACGAACTGCGTTGTAGTGCTGTATACATAACCGTATAGTTTAAAATACGCACACACAAAGCGCTACGCAACGCAGCTTTTGTACTGGTGTACATTTTATTCAAGCATTAGCGCTGCAAGGTGGCGCGCGAACATTCCAAAGCAGCCGATCATTATCCGATCGAACAGGTCTCAACTGCGTCCTGGTTACAGGGAACGCTAGAGGGCTTCCTCCTCTTGTCCGATCTTTTGTTCGTCGTGATTAGCGATTTAAGAAAGGTCACCAGTTTGAACTCCGCCCGCGTGAGCCGGATGCGGATGCACATGGGTTCCGACACGCCTAAAATGCCGATATCTGGTACGAAAACACTTTGCCAGACGCTGTTGTAGTGCGCTTTATTGTGCTTATTTTTCTTCCTGTAAAGCATCATTTTTATCACGGCTGGGGTACCTTCGTGTGTTGTCGATTAAGACCGAATCGCCAGCCACAGCAGGTCGACGACACTGCAACGCGAAAAGTTTCAAGGCCACATTTCGGGTTTTGGTGTTGAAAGCAACCATGCAAGGCTAGCTGGCTAGGTAGAGCCGTTTGAAACCTTGCTTCTTCAAAGACGAGCCAAAAAAAGCTAATATATTCCAGCAGCTTGGGGGAAAAATATGGAAGACCTCCGTTCGCTTTTTATGGTACAACCGTCCTGATACAGCAAAAAAGAGTACGCGTAAATCTGTATTCTAGTTGAGCTAAAACAGCATTACAAACAGCTGCTTTAAGTGACGAAGTATAACTGCAATGCGAGATGTTCTGCCTGCATAACTGACGTAAAAAGTGCGACATCATTACTTCCTACACATATGTTTACGTTATTGTCTATGCGTGGATATATGCACGTATAATGCTAATAATCCAGACGATGCGCGTGTATTAACGCGATAGCGTTAACGAGCTGTTTACTAAAAAAATCGTTGTCGGCGTCTCTGTCAGGGTCGACGCCGTTCGTTGCGAATGATAAATCATCATCTTGCCAATGACCAATAAATTAGGAAAGATTCAAATAAAATATACAATAAAAAACTTTCATTCCAATGATAACCGAACCCATGCAGTCTGCGTGTCAAGGTGGTGTTTAACTGCAGAGTAACGATATCGTTTGAAATTGCATACAAATTCCATGTTGCAACGAGTCTTCTTAGCGCATGTTAAATATTGCGTGGCAGAAGCGTAGAATCACTCCAAACGTCAAAACATGTGATTGCGCAACGACTGCGCGTCTTGAAGGTTGACCCGTTACAAAGCGATCAGAAATATTCATTCATCGTCAGCTGTAAATGCATCAACAAGGTGACTGGCTGCATATGTTCGCGTGTTGCCTTGAGGACGAGTAGCGGGCCTTTCGCCGAATCGCAAAAAGATTACTTACGGAGTAGCGGGCACTTAATAACTGCACTAGCAGATAGGCAATATGGGATAGTTGGAAACGGCCATTTTTACGCGCACAGTCGCTCGTTTCTTTCAGGCACAGTGGAAACATGGACGCAGAACCGAAGTTAGTCTATAGCAGTGGAAAAGACAATGTGCATAAGGCTGATTTTAGCATCATTCACTTATTTTCTTTGGAAGATACAAGCAAGATATCGATTGATTGATATGTGGGGTTTAACGTCCCAAAGCCACCATACGATTATGAGAGACGCCGGAGTGGAGGGCTCCGGAAATTTCGACCACCTGGGGCTCTTTAACGTGCACCCAAATCTGAGCACGCGGGCCTACAGAGAGAACGAACGCGGAGAAAAAAGAAAGAAAGAAAAATATACAGAAAAAAAGACAAAAATAGACAGACAGAAATAAATAGAGACGGAGACAGAAACAAAACAGACATAAAGAGAGAGAGAAAGAAAGAAAAACAAATGATAGCCTAATTGCATAACACCGCACAGCCATGATTGGGAAAGGGAAGTGTGGGTGAGGAGGGAAACAACACCGGCTCCGTTGTTTGCTCAGTCTTCGCAACTAAAGTGCGTGGCTCACACCACATTTTTATGCTTTAGTCGTTTTTTTTATGTTGAAAATCTATAATTGTGTCTCGGAGGTACCTCATTTCATGTAATACTTTTATGGGAGCATTTAGGGGTACTTTTGCAATATAAAAATACATATTGAGAATAAAGCTAAGCCTCACTCTGCAACCTAATCTGCTATTGTTACTTGAACACAACGCATCCTACAGCCTCGTCTTCTTCCCTCTCTCCACCGCAGGCTCGCCATGATGACGAGAGCAGCGGTGTTCCTGTGGTTGCTGGGCGCGTCGCTGGCGGCGTCCCCATCTTCTTCATCGTCGCAGTCATCCTCGACGAACCCGTCGTCTCCGTCCTTCTTCGTCCACCTCAGTTGTCTCGTCGTCCAGTTCAACGTCGACCAAGAGGGACGACTTCAGCGCCGCCGCGTCCTCCAGCCACCCGGTCTACTCGCCCTCGGTCGGGTCCCCGTCCTCCGTGTACGGGGCGTCCTCGCCGTACGGCACTTCCGCTTCCGGATACTCCGGAAGCGGATCTGGGGGGTAAGTCTTACTTCCAACGACTACACTTATTCCTCGAACGCCCACACAAAGCACTTGACAGCAATGCCGATTGTTCTAACTCAAAGGGACGCAAATAATAATAATAAATTCAAGTAAGGCAGCTTCCCACTATAGTGGTGGCAAACATGAGGGAAGTGCGGATCCTTCCTTGTTTCTCTTCAGTTTTCTCTCTATACCCTTCTCTCTTTCATTCTCTTTCTCTCTATACTGCCATTCATTACTGTCTTTCTTCGTATTTTCTCCTCTCTTTTATCTTTCCATTTCTCGCTTGCTTCCTTTTTTTTTCAAATATTTCACGTAGTTTTGCCAGCATTACACCAAACGACAACGACAGCATACAAGTGCTACACACTGAAAAAAAAAATAGGCTGCACAAACTGGAGTGCCTGTCAGTGTTCGTACGCGAGCATCAGTGAATTGCAACCAAACAAAGAAAACACCGCTATTAAAACCACACTTGTTCAGTCATACCAGTTACGAAAAAACTTCATTCCGAAACCCGGGCATGCTCATGGACAAATTTGCGGAGGCTGCAAACCATAGAGTTTCGTAAAATTAACTAGAGAAGACTCTGGCGCTGCGATCGTTCAGCGACCAGGGGAATGATGGGTAGTAAATGTATTTGCCTGGTCTTCGTTTATTGCTGTGTTTTAGTTTTGTGTTAAGTGAAAGAACAAACCGTTTTTAACTTCATGACCGATTTGCATAGGTGATCCTAAAATGTTAAGGTGGTGAAGCGTTACTTCTGAAGATTTCACGATTTTTGTATCGCGACGCAAGAGCTCCATGCCACGCGAAGCCAACCGGAGCCGACAGTATGAGTACTGGGAAAATCCTTGCACTACCCATTGTTCACATGCTCGCTAATGCCCCATGCGTTGCAGCTCCCATAGACACCAGCACCAGAGTTCCATCTAGTGTATTTATAGGAAACTATGGCACAAACCAACACGCCAACAGGGAGCTACAACAGAAAACACGCCGCATCGGTACAGTCTTCGCTGTAATTGCGCGGCATTCCGCGGAAATACGGCTCTGGCGCCATCTGCCAACGTAAGCCTCAAACCAAAACATACTGCTCCACCAATGCGACATCGCCTGCAGGCTTATACAACGAATCGCATAAATACCATTCATTAGTTAGCTTTTCTCGCCTACAGGTGGCTCTATAGTCAGGAGACGTCCGCAATCTCGGCCATGGGCATCACTCAAAGCTGATAGCCTGCATAAACGAACAGCGGTCAACGTTAGCCACGGGCAGTGCTTGCGTAAATACGGTACATAAATTCGGACAAAAATTATTGTCGTAAATGTCATGTCCTGCTAAAATAGTGTGGCTTGAGGAAACCCATAAAAGGGTCATTTTCAATATTTTATCGCATGCACTGAGATTAGACAAGACAAGATTAACAGGAACTGCATTGTAGGCTTCTTATGATATGATGCAAACCACGATATGATAATAAGGCATGACGCAGATGGGAACTCACCGTTAATTTTTATCATCAGGGTCTCCCTACCGTTCAGCTGAATCTAAGTATTTTGGCCGCATAAAAATGCACCTGCCAAGGACTAGCATCGAGCAGCGCAACACGCTGGCAGATATGTTACCACAGCGGATTGATGGTGGTCACCGCAGCACAACTTAACACGTTTAAAAATTGTTAATATTCAGTAATATCATAGTTTAACTGTTCCCTATGCTTAGGTAAGTTTATATTTTGCGCATTAAGCCAAATAAAATGACCGATCATCTCAAGGCATTTTCAGAATGTCGTCAACCCAACACCTTTACAAAACCAAGAAGCGTGCTTCTCTGCATGCTCAGTCTTTACCAGGAGAAGCCAACTTCAAAGCGTCTTTTGCGAGCAGTATTATGCAGTAATACTTTCAGCAGTGGCATTTTGGTATATCGTAACAGGCAGAACAACACATGGGGCGTGAGTTCCACGTTCATAAACCTGAATCATAATGATGTACGCTTCCATCGTGGCTGTATACCGGGCGATTCGTTTCAAATTTGCGGCTTCCCGCGTTTGTTTTTCATTGTAAAGCGAAACACTGACTACATGTAAAATAATCGTGGCACTTATTGTAAATAATACGGCTTATGATTAAGTTTGTTTTTCACAGTTTTTTACATATGTTTTCTGAACCTGATGAAGCGGATAGAGATATTACTTGTACTTTGACTTTATTATGTGTTCTTTGGTGTGTTTTATTTGCTGTTGTCGATCAGGTAACAGTTGCCGCGTCAAGCTGGTTGGTATTGCAGCTTTTAGATGTATCGCAGAGCATTTTCGTTACTAAACGGGGGGAAAAGAAGTAAATGTCCGCATTTTACATGAATTTTAGAGAGCAGCCACATTTCTCAAATGGTCGAAGCTTTAGACGGGCACTGTGGCCTGATGCAAGCACGTTCCAGTTACAACTACTAGTGCATTTAATGTAGAAAAGAAGCTAAAATTTTTTAAAGGCTAGTTTTGCTTCATTTGATTGAGGACCGACTGACAATGATGACAAATAAAATATAGGGGATGTTATTAGTAGGAAGTGTAGTGTAAATTTCCACAATGGAAAGTGCACGAAAAGAAAACCTTCAGGTGGTAGAGACTGAACTTGCGACCTTAAAATAATGCGTCCGATGCTCCACCAAATGAGCTACAGCGGCGGTTATCGCCCCGTCTACTTTACGGTGTATATGTGTGCATTTGAACCTGAGAGTGTTGACTACATGCCCTTTCGATCGCAGCTACGGCTCGGTGGGTGGCTCAGCGGGTGCATACGAAGCGGCTGCGTCGAGTAACACGTACCACAGCCAGGCGAGCCCCAACAGCAACCTGTACTACTACTACTATCCGGTGTCGAAGAACAGCGGCCAGCAGACCTCCAGCGCCTCGGACGCCGAATACCAGGTGCGCAACTTGAAAACGTGACGATACGACATGACCGATAACAAACTTGGCGCCAAAAATATGATGACGAAAAACAACACAACACATAGACGGAACGGCTGCTTGTCATGTCTGTGTGTTCCTTCGTGATCCCGCGTGGTCGTATTTATGGCACCAAGTTTACTATTCATATGGAACTTTCAACAGACGATACGACATACCGATGGTAAACTGGGTGCCGAAAGCACTACCACACGGGACCACGAAGGAACACATAGACGGGAAGGCCGATTTTCCTGCTCACGCGTTCTTCTGTGTTCCCGCGCGGTCGTGTATTTGGCGCCGATTTCACTACTCAAGCAGAATATGCACCAATTGGCTCAACGTCCGCCTCGGTGGTAATGTGGCTGCGGTGCTCAGATGCTGACCCGAATGTCGTGGTTTTCATCCCGGCTCTGGCGGTCGCATTTCGGTGGAAGCGAATAGACGGAGGCCCGGCACGTTCAAGAACGGCACATGATCAAAATTTGCGGAGCCTTCCACTGCGGCGTGCCACGCCTTGTGGTTTCGCCACGTGAAAGTCCAACTGTCATTATTATTAACTAGCCGAATAGCGAACACTACGAGGGTCATAGTTACAATTACTATAGTTGATGATCGTAGTTATAATTGTTATAGCCAATGATGCGACTTAGAGACGGGTTGGCGCAAACAATCGCCAAGCGTGGGTGAACTTGTTGCGTATAACCGCATCACGATGTGATCAGAACTCACCGGAAAAAAGAAGCACATCACAAAAAAACTTGCTTTTGCTTTTGTTGCATTGAAAATTACAATCATGATTTGCGCATTTACTGATTATCCGTAGTGAAAGCACTTGACAGGAGAGCGTCTTTCCTGTCAAGTGCTTTTCCTGCTACTTTGTGCGCTCATATGTTTCCACATTATGGTGTGCCATTTCCTGGCTACGCCCTCGGCTCGAGATGACCACTTCACACAGCGACAAATTTGGTCTCACGCGAGCTATATTCCTGCAAGGTTCGATCAATGATCTATACAAAAGACGACGCGTTCCACCGATGATCAGATTAAGTGATTGCCGTTATCATCGTACAGGGTGCACTCCTTGTACTTTTGATTTAGTGAGCAAACGTTATATCATAAAAAAAAAAGTTTCGTGTTTGACGATCCGACTGTCGCCGCCCTCACCGTAATATAATAATAATAATAATAATAATAATATTTTGCTGAAATTTCATGTCCCAAAACCACTACATGGTTATGAGGAATGCCGTAGTAGGATTATTTAACGTGCTCCCAAATCTGAGCCCACGGACCTATATCATTTCCGTCTCCACCCACACACACAAAAAAAGAAATGTGGCTGTCGTGGCCATGATTCGATCCCTTCACCTGCGAATCAGCAGTCAAACACCATAACCAGTACGTAATCTAGAAGTAAGTTGGTAGGTAAATGGTTGTTCTCTGTTCTTGTTCGCAATGTTCCCTGCCCGTGTATGCCTGTGAAACTTTTTTTTGTATAAGTGCCTTGTAGTGAACACAACACTGACTTTGCATGTATGTATGTCTCTGTTAGCCTATACGCATACATCTGCACCAGCAAACCTACGAGTGAATGAGCAAATCGATCAATTGTCCCAATTATTATGGGACTTCGCAGGCGAGTGCGGCGCAGAACTACGCGGGCGTCTCGGCTCCCGGCAGCGGCTCGTCGGGCTCGTCCTCTTCTTCGGGTGCGTACGACCAGGCGGCGAGCGCCTCTTCTTCCTCGGGCTACGGTGCCTCGGCCGATGGGGGCCACTCTTCGTCGGGCTACGAGCACGACTCGAACGCGGCCGCCTACAACGCGGCCGCGGCCGCCAGCTACCAGCAGCAGCTGCAGGCGTACGCCGCGCAGGGTGGCGGACACTACGGACCCAGTGAGTGGTTGGTGCGGCGCGGAGTCGCAGCGGCATAGAACGTAAAGACAGGAGGAGCTCGCGGGTTCGACGTTTGCCTTCGCCGGTTTACCGCCGGATCAAAGTGGAGCGGGCAACCCCCGGCGCACTGCTCGATCGTTTTTTTCTGGGTTCCATTGCAAGTCCACTGCACAAGGCCTCGGCCTGACGCAGTTGCGAAACAGAGAAACGCATTAGATGACGTCACACAGGCTGGCCGACACTCCGGCTGCGAAACGCAAAATGACCGAGTCAAACTTATCAAGCCCACGTCGGGCGCAGGTAGAATTTTTTTTTTTTTCGGGGGAAATGGAGGGGACGGAGGTCACGCCTTTCATTCGAAGTGAGGACCGGGCAAGATGTGGTCGAGTGTCATGTGGGTTTCTATGTGCTACGGAAAAAAAAAAAGGGGGGGGGGGCACGGGTTCGGTTCGCCACCCTCTGGCTATGCCACTGGCCCGCGTACGCCACTCAGATGTATCGGCTGCCATTTTTAATCGTGGATTCAAACAAGAATGGTTAAAAAGTTATTCTTTTCTGCTTGAAAGGCTTGTGCAATGAGTACAGTGCATTATAAATAAACGTTTTCAAACTAATGTTGCAATTCAAAATTGAAGCAAACACGTTCCAACGTAGAACATAAGGCCCTGAAAATTGCTTGGAGGCACAGCGCAACGAAAAATGTTTATCGAGAGTGAGAGAGAAAGAAAAAAGGTTCTGTAACGATGCCGTTTCATAAGAACGCCCTCGTCTTAAGGAGTTATCATCGCTAACCACCACAGCAGCTTGTCCTTGTAAGCCCTGATAAGAGCCAGCACTGTTTAGTTCAACTCTCAGCCGGCGAATTTAGCCCAATGGCTTGTAGCCCGATATGTGAGCAAGGACGATGAGTGACGTGTAGACAAGCGTGCGTGCCTATTATGCATGGTCACTACTCCAACAAAATATGACGGGAAACCTAACTACATTATACAACATTCATTATACAACTCTTTCGTCTGCCTCTAATTAATGTATGTTATAATTGCATGGATCCATACTAGCATTCTGCTAAGGATCCAGATGTTGCTAACATGTTTTTCTTTACTGTATGTTGTTTATTCATAATAAAGTTCAAAGTTCAAAGTTCAACCTAACCATTCTGCAACACCAGCGCCTGCTAACACTCGAATGGCGAAATTGCTGTTGCAAATTACAGTGCGCCGCTTGGCCTGCGCAATGAAGTGCGAAAGCGAGCCGCGTTTTTCTGTCCGCGCGCGGTCTTCTCGAACGCAGGCGCGGCGCAGTACGCTCACCTGAGCCAGTTGGCGCAGCAGTACGGACCCCAGCTGGCGGCCGCGCAGCAGTACGCCCAGTACGCCCAGCCTGGCACCGGACACTACGGCGGAGGAGGATCCTACCCGTCGCCGTCTTTCCAGGGAAGCTACGACACGTCCAAGAGGTCAGTCATCTTTCACCCGAAGCTATCTCGACCTTCCAAAAACGTCATATGAGATAGCCAGTCACTTGGTGTAAGTGTCTGCGTTAAACCAACAATGTCGAAGTCGAATGATAAGCGCAAACTACCTATATAACGTCTGGCCCGCATTATAACACATCGGCAAACTTTGTAGGCCGTTTGTGCGAACCCGAAATTTTGGGGGGAGAGGAGTTTTACATCTAACTTTGCAATCTATAGTATATATATGCTAGCGATAGCCGCGGCCGAGTGCCTTCGTCAAACAAACTTGAGAAATACGGCGTGTCTTTTCATTTATACTGACAATAATTTTAAACATTTTCAGAGAGTCGCTTTAGCGACATCATCTCTCTTTACGGGCAACCATGGTGGAATGTGAAAGCATCGCGGGGGTTGTGCATCGAGCTTCCGCCGTTTCTCCTATGTGACTTGTGAGACGGTGGTTGTCATGGCGCTCTAATTACCGCTTGCCGACGCAGACGTTTACGTTCGGCTTCCCGAGCCTTCCCCTGCTCCGTGGCGGTGGCGCTGCCACTGCAACTATAGCGCCTACGTTGACGTTATTCATGGCGTTTCGCACACCGTTGCACAGACAGAAAATAAGCACAGCGAACGCACGTTTTCAAAGCCTCACAGCTTCGAGATTCGCTTGCCGGCGTTGTAGTTAGTAACGTTCAGCTTCGCGAGCGTCCATAGCACAGTTCCGAAGGAGAGTTGCCGGCGTTGTCGTCGCAGTGTGACGTCGCGGGGAAAGACCAACTCGCGACGTCCTAGCGGCTCATCTGTCATTTGCTCGTGGTGCGAGTAAGCAACGATGAGCATACTGTCGTCCAGTTACAGTGATTTTTGCAATGTAGACGGCGTGCAGGTCGCAGCGTTCGCAAACTCGGTGGTTGACTCGTCAAGATAATGCCCACTGCGGTGCACCTGGCTTGCTGATGCTCAGTGATGAAAATCTTAAAATTAATTATACATGCTGTTTGACTCCACCGTGTGGAGAGCGTTAACACTGCATATATACGAGTAAACGATAAACGTCCCTTTTACAATGTTTCCAAATCGTGTCAGTACTCCTCTAAGAAGCACAGCGCAGACGGACGAACAAAAGCGGCGAAACTTTGCTCTCGCTCGCCAGGTACTACGGCCTGGGCTCGGTGATCATGCCCCTGCTGGCGCTGGCAGGCTTGGGCCTGCTCATCCCGACGGTGACCAGCCTGAGCGGAAAGAAGAAGCGGTCCATCGAGGACGCCAGCCGTGCACACCTGGGTGACTACGCCGAGCGGCTGGAGCGCTACTTCAAGATCTACCGGGCCGCCGTCGAGAGCGAAGAGTGCATGAACCGCATCGTGTGCGAGCTGGGAGACGCCGTCAGCAACGTGCGCGGAAAGTCGGCGCTGCTCACGTGAGTGCATCACCATGCATGATAGCGAGCGAGGGTATCCCTTTTTGGGGGGCCTTTACGAAACACTCCCGGGTACTGCTGTTCGCTGACTGGAAAGCAGGGGTACTCAGTGTGCGACACAACGGTATCTTGCTTGGGTGTCGCCAGATTCCTTGTCTTCGGGGGTGGGCGGGGTGCAAATCCATGTTACAACGTGGTAAAGGATGGGGGAGGCGCCGGTGTGGCTTTAGGGGAGGAGGGGATGCCAACGCCCATGGTAACCTGAGACGTAGATTTGAAAATGGTACAATCTCTAAATAAAGTTATGTAACTATCAACCCTCTTTTCGTCCACTTCCCTGAAACAGTACAGGACGGTGCCAGAGTTAAATGAGCGCGCAAGAGCCCTCTTGTGTTTCCGAATGAAAAAGACCACGAAAAATGTTCGAGTACGTAAACCTATTCTCATTATATAAAATTTCTGCTAGTCCCATTTTCATATTTCCATTGACAACGAGATGCTTCACGAGGTTGGATCAGCCACTTAGATGACAAACCTCCTTGGAAAGAAAGAGAAAACAGGAAGGCAGTGAGGTTAACCAGACAATACCCATAGGCTGGAACACTATCATGCGCAGTGCTTTCAAAGCCCTTTGGCGCTCTTTGAAGATCATATGAATGATCGAGTGATTGCCCTTGCCAGTTCACATGCTTTGTCGTCTTCCATTTTCCTTACATGTCATTCTTCCTTTTCCCAAGTGTAACATATATGCAACTAAGCACAGTCCACACTTATTAGTCCGCTCAAAGCTAATCAAGAAGCTTCTTAATTACTTACAGTGCTTCTTGAGGACGGCATTTCTAGGGTGTTTCTTTCTGCAATTAATAACTACTCAACCATATGTAAGTGCTCCCCTAATGTACTTACGCTTGGCGCAGGGTGATGGAGAAGTTTGCACCCGGCTGGATGAACAACAAAATCGGAGTGTTCAAGAACGCTGCCCTGACCGTCGACACGACCAAGTGCTCCCGCTACAAGTGCTGAACGCCGCCGCTTGGCGGCGCAGAGGTCGATCCTACGAGCATCACGAAGCCCACCAGACCACAACGATGACGACGACGACGACGACGAATGCAAAGACAAATTACGACCACCCTCCGAGCGTTAACGGGCGAAGGCAAAAACAGGAACGAACACAGAAGAGTTGAACGCGCTCTAAATGTCACCCAAAGGCGTATCGCGGCTTACGGCCCACTTCGTATCCCAACCCCGCTTTTCCAGGCGCTCTCTTATTGACGTCTACGTCAAGCTGCGCTTTGTTTTATCGAATGGGCGGTTCAGCGCGTAGACAGTGCAACGAGTCGAGCTTTAGGGATTGATGTGCTCCGTGATCCGTGTCCACTGACGTTGGGCAAACTGGCGACGGCGCAGTGGCGTCGAGTGAACGTGTCGGATTGTTCTCCGTGTCCAGGGAGCGGCAATGCCCTGCTGTTGGGTCGGTCAGGTGATACAGGGAGCTTCGCGACACTGTCTCTTTATGCAACGGTTTCTAATTGGGTCTGGTAGATATTTTTCAGTGCAGCGCGGTCATGAGTCGTCACGTACCACGAAAGCACGTGTAGATCTGCTAATCATTCCCATATTTATGAGAAAAAAAAACGCCTTTCCTGGTAGAAAACAAGTCCTATATCGCCAGCAGTACACCACATCATCATTGGGAAAAGAATTCGGTTTTACGGGTGAATTAAACGGGAAAGATGGGAACGACACAAATTATAGGGTAGAGCGTTGGACGACTTCAGTTAACGTGCTTATTGAAGCAACTACCATTTATTGAAGCACAGTGTCATGTCAGATCTTCTGTCATACAAGCCGTATACAAGCCGTAGGTTGAAAAAAAACACAAATATTTTTAAATTTTCCGATCGCCAATACTCCGTTGGGTTGTAACTATAGATTGTCCTAGCGTTCCGGAATTCGCAATGCGTTGCGAAAAACGAAAAAGCACATTCCATATTGTGGTAGCGAACCGTCAGCAGTCGCGGGACAGGAGAACTCTCTCTCCACAGCTTAGCAGGGACAGTGAACACAACCGAGCGATTCTTTATCGTGAGCTTCAATGCTGTTCGTTGGTTCCTCCAGTCAACATACTCTGACGCAGCTGTCGGTCAAAGCTCTAAGACAATTCACCACGAAGTGCCTCGAACTGTTATCCGAAGTCTCAACAATATTCTACATCTGTCGAGCGTATCTATAGTTTCTGGCTGGACCTCTCAATACGCTCTGAACACGTCCACTAGCGTTCTCACTTAGTTATGCTTTCTTTCGGGTCGCTGCGGAGATTAGTGTAGCATGTCACGAGCACCGCATCAATATAGGTAAATTGCTCGAAAAACAGTTTCATGGTGCCGTTACTGATAACTTGCAACTTGAAAAAAAAATCCAGACATGTCGCCAGGAAGTTAGTTACGTAAGGTAAAATTCAATACCCTCTATCAGCAGCTTGAAGAAAAAAAATGCGTTACAGACTTTTGCTGTAGCAGGAAACGCCATCAGTGTAAGCGCATTCGCAGTGCGCCTCGTACGAAGCTGTCAGCAGTATGACGTCAGCTACAATCGCTGCAGACGACGTTTAGCTTGCTTGTACATTCTTCATCTCGCCCAAAGCTGAAATTACCACCTGCTTCGATGAGCAGACGAAAGCGTGATGTCACAAAGAGCGTGCGCATCGTATTCCGCGTTTGGTCACATGTCCGTCAACACACTGACACTGTTTGCCTCACTACGTCACGGATGTCGTCATCGAGTTATACGAGCTATAGAGCATGGGTGTCATCCTTGGATGCGCCATCAGCTGCGGCGCAGCACACGCTCTCAAATGCAAAACATTACACGATTGTCATCACCACTCATCCTCGATTTAAGAAAAAAAAATGTCCACCGTTTTCTCCTTCCCACCATCGTCAGCTCTTAGCATTTCGGTTAGTCCTATTTTATTTTTTCGGTTATTATTATTTACTATTGAGTAACTCCGAGGCATTCACTACACATCTAGATTAACTCCCTAAGCGTGGACCGTGGCTTGTAAGCGTGTTTCTTGTGCGTGAAGTTGTGTTGCGTTTTTTTTTTTTTTGAATGTTTCAGACTCTTGCAAGAGTGCTTCCGTTCCATCGCGTAGATGGTCCTTTTATTATATATACATATTTTGTTTAATCCTGTTTGTGTCGATAGCGGCGAGCTTGCCCGATCTCGCCTGAGAGGATTTTCCGAGGGATTTTCTTCGAAAACCCACCTGCGAATGCCACCCGGTGATAATGAATTCGCACTTCGAGAGCCGAAACTGCGAAAATTCGAACGCTCATCTTTGATTCGTAGTATTGTAATCTTTAACGGCGCTAGTGGAGGACATCCCAACGACAATGAGCTATCAGAGATAGGTACGAGGTGACTCTACGCCCACAAAGAAGAATCAATGAATTAAAACTAAAAAGAACTGAAATACATTTCCTACGCCGCTCCAAGCGAATATGACTTTGGTGCTTTCCTTTACGACCCTTGAACAAACCTAAACCACGCACGGGAAATGCACATAACGTAAGTTTAGCCACAAACACTAAATAGATTCCCATAAGCCCAAGCGTCAAATGAACTGTGCGAAAAACCAGCTGCTCAATCGATTGCTCGAAGAAGGGATCAGTGGTGAGCGCGTACGAAAAACCGTTTGACGATTTATTAGCTACAGTTCTCAGTTCAAAAAGCGATTTTCAATTAATGCTGCAACGACTAAGCGGTATCCGCTCGAATTTAAACGATTCCACGCCAAGCTAATCGTAGAAGTGGACGCCTGACAGGCGGCTCAGGCTGTCACGTGCTCAACTGACGAATGCGCAATCTAGGTTCCAATGATAAGCGTTACGTGCCTTTCGCGTCACTTCGTGCCTAGACGCGAGATATCTTACATTCTAATCAGCCGGTTCTGCCACGCTTTGCGCAATCAAAAACAATCTCTCTCTGTCTTCCTTTCTTTTTGACGATGACAACCTTGGTTCGTGCGTCCGCTGCCTGTCAATCTGCTCACGCTATAAGAACACGGCGAAAGGAAAAATGTGTCTGCCACCACCGTGCCAAGTAACTAAACGACGCAAGGCGGGGCCAAGGTTGTACATTGGAAAAAGAAAAAAAAAGTTTTTCCATTCATTCCTCACGGGCATTTTTTTGCAAAAGGCTTGTAGCTCATTTGTGTAGTATTTATTTTTTCACGCCGTCGCCCCTTCTGCGACGAGGCCCGAAACGCCTGCCTCATCTTGTATTCCCTGTACACAATTTTTTGGATAAAACATCTGAATGCCATGTTGGTGTTTGTCGGCTCACTTGTCTCTCCGAACTGCGGTTGCACGTCATAACCGGCATTAGAGGGACACCAAAGTGAAACAAGGTCGCTTGTTCGAATCCCGGTCGCCACACTTTCGGTGTCGGCGAAAATGCTTGAGACCCGTGTGCCTAAATTAAGGTGCACGTTAAAAAGCTCCAGGCGGTACCGGAAATTCCCAGAGCCCAACACTATGGTGCCCCTCATAACCACGGACATCGTGGTTTTGGGACGTCAAACTCCAACAGTTAAATTATTATTAAAATGAAGCAACTAGTCGGTTTGGATTGATTACTTACACACTGAAAACTGCACTGACACCAATTTCAGCATCGTATGATCACTATTAGACGAAAAAAATAAGGTCAAAGTTTCACATTTAAATTTCGCGCCGAAAATCTCCGTGAGTGATGTCACGGTTTGGAAGTTTGTATTTTGGCGGCATCGGTGAAGTAGCATATTTTTGACAGGGACAAGACGGACACGACACTCGTAACTATCCCATTCTCCCCGTCTACAAATAGTCTATGGCGGCGGCACCCAGTTGTCTTACGGAAAAAAGTCTATAAGACTTTTCCGTTAGACATCTGGGCGCCGCCATCTTGAACTGTTGAGATGATATTATCTTGTTTCTGTATATCGTGACGGGGATTAATAAGGTCACGAAACATCGTATGCACCAACCCAGCTGTTTTCAAGTGTCGACCGTAAGGCTGTCTGTTTCGTTGTTAAATGTACAAAACCCAAAGCCTAACGTGACAGCACTCAAACACATTCGTAAAATAGTCCCAGCTCTCAACATCATTGAACTTCCAGAAACTTGGTATGTTACGTCCCCGTCAGCAGGCAATGTAATTAATTTTGCCCGATTGGAAACGAAGTCGAAATTTACGACATCACGGTGGATGATTTCGGAAAGTCAAGGTGGTGTCACCACCCACGTTTTCTCGTTTACCAAGCGTCTGTATGGATTAGGCGCGGTGTTCCTGAAATTGTGAAAAAGTAAACACTAGCAAAATCATATTTATCTTTGGTGTCCCTTCAAATCAATCGGCACCACTTTTATCCTTGGCGGAGGAAGTGAAAGGTGAGGGGACATTATCGAGTTTGTTTCGCATCAGCAAGACGCAAAAGGCCAAGTTGGCAATCTGCTTCGAATGACGTTATCAAACTTTAAAAAAAAGTAAGTAAAGAAGAACTGCTGGATATAGCACGCCTGAAACGTTGGAAGCTAGGACAGGTAAGTCCTCTAGACCATAGCAGAAACAAGGTAAGCTTTCAAAAAATAACTGTTCACGCGCGAATGCTCCTGCATTTTCGGATGACTGACAATCACGTACCGGTGAGTAGCATGTGTCGTTATGGCTGCTGGTTTTGCAAATATATTCATAATCCGGTCGCACTTAACGTAAAAGAGACGGGCTAAACCACGACTCAATTCTTTTCCACGGAAGGACCTATCAGAGCGAAAGTTTTGTTTGAGACTTGTTTTTACAATAATTTGTAGCTTGGCGTCTCGTAATGCCGAAATCGAATTGTAAATGCTATAACACATCGTACAATTATTGCAAGCATCTTCAATTCGGAACGCTTCTCCGACAGTTCTAAACGTCCGCCTAAATAACCATAAGAAACTAGCGCCCCAAAGCGGGGAAGCGCCTGAGACTAGGTGCGCCGAAGTTTAAATCGACGATGCTAAACGCACCGTTTTCAAATATGGGGACCCACGGGCGGTGAAGAATGAAACGATGTCCCCCCTAAAAAAAACACTAAAAGACAGTCATTTTTCTTCCCTCTTCTTTCCTCTTTCTCCCCTCTTATCTTATTTTCCTCTGTTTCTTCCCTTCTCCCGAAACAATGAGCAGGTGTTGTGCCCCTCCAGGTGACAGTTGTCAGCTTGCTCTCTTCCTCTGTGTCCCTGTTGTTTCCGTGTATGCAAATAAAATAAATTATTGAATTAGGCCACCTTGTGAGCAGCTAACACCAGGGCAAGAAGGGCGACGAACAATGGTCCTCGCCATGTGCTATAGCCGGGGCCCCGCAAATGTTCCCTGACACCGACATGATTGATTGATTGATTTGTGGGGTTTAACGTCCCAAAACCACCATTTGATTATGAGAGACGCCGTAGTGGAGGGCTCCGGAAATTTTGACCACCTGGGGTTCTTTAACGTGCACCCAAATCTGAGTACACGGGTCTACAACATTTCCGCCTTCATCGGAAATGCAGCCGCCGCCGCCGGGAATCGAACCCGCGACCTGCGGGTTCCCTGACACCGACAATACTTGCTTTACCTCTGCTACGTCACGAGAGTGCTTCTGTCTACATCAAACTACAGGAAACGTCGATCGGACTTGATTGCTCGGATGAGGACGCACACTTACATTAAACCAAATTAAAATACCTTGTAGGAAATACTCGCCACTAATAATCGGTCAGCAGTGGCCCCGAATGCAGGACTATCCAACACAAGCATATCGTGGGTTTCCAAATTTGGTGTCAGTGGTCTCTTAACACATCTCGCAGTACGCATTTACAGGATACAATACTGTAACAACAAGACTATGCCCGCCGCTGAAGCTTAGCAAGTTAGGCGACGTGCTACTAAACTCGAGGGCCCAGGATTCAATTCCCGAACACTCGGTCGCGTTTAGATGCAAGCGAAATGAAGATCACACCTGTGCCTGTTGATTTAGGTGTACCATGTGTTCAACATTAATTCACAGTGGCCCACAATGGTGCGCCTCAAAGTCTTATCATGGTACAAATTATGTCCCTCATTATTTGCCCATTGCACTGCTTTTTCCCAGCGTTATCATTACAATGTGTTACCAACAACGCTGAGCACCTATCCTTGTGGAGGCATTTTTTGATGAATGCACAGAGGTACCCTCCAACACATTTGAAGTGTCTATATTTTTTGTGGTTTACATAGACTGATGTATGAGGACAATTTTAGCATAGGTCTTAAGCAGCGATATCAAATGATTTAGTATATCAATCCCATAATAAGGTGCACTACATTGCTACTGACTGCATCAGCACATAGTGGTACTCGACAAAACTGTTGCAGGCGAAAATGACGGAAGATGAGGGTAAGGCTGTGACCGGATAAAAGTGACGTTAAGAGCGATCCAGCCGTGGCATTCAATACATGAGATCACTAATGTGTCACATTTTTATTTCCTGTGCTTTTTCATTGACGCCACCACAACTAAAAATATGACTACGACTACAAAGCACGAGGCTACCATTCCACCTCTGGCATTTTTTGCTTGCGCATGTCGGATGTGCATACGAAGGACTTCTCTCTTTATCTTTTCTTGCTTCTGTGGATTTGCGAGCTGCATCTTTCCGCATGTGCGATATACTGACTACCACACGTGCCGAAGAGGCAGATTGCAATCCTCTTCACTGAATTGATGCCAGCTGCACCGTACTTGTTCATTGGGCCGCTCACTGAACACACCGTGAAAGGTCAACGGTACTTTACTACCCTGGTCATTTCACAAGTTCTCTTCTCAAGATAAGAGGGAGTGACATAGAATGTTATTGTGAAGAACAGCAGAAAATATGTCGCTTTGAAGCAGAAGCGCCTTTTCACATTCTGAGAAGTCAGACATCAGGCACTATGTTTGTTATTATGGCAAGGACATCTACACTGCCTTGGAAAGGACAAGTAACAATGGTGCGCTAGCTTCCCCTATGTAAAAGACTTTAGCTCATTTCATTGTGGGGAGCCCTCTTGTGAAGCAGAACAAGTCGGGTTGAGCGAAATGCAGTCAGCTGACCTCGCGAAATCAAGTTCAGGGTAGGCACTTTTTTGCAGTATTTTGAATTTTCTAAATCAAATAACTTCGGTGTGTTGCTATTGCTGCCATTCTTACCACATTGTTCTGTCTGTACAACAGTCTATGCAAACAAAGAGTAAGAAATGGAGGTTTGAATAGTGTTGCAGGGCCTTTTTTTTCATGTTTCATGCTGCAAATGCAAATGCTAGATTTGGGTTTAAGCTGCCTGCCCTTTCTATCCTCTTTTTTTTTATTTTATCATTCTTACAGCTAGCTACATTTGTTACTGGCCCAACTAGTTCAACCCATTTCGTTTTACTTGCTTACATGAAATCGAACATTTTATTTGAATTTAACCTGAGCGAATATAGGCATGAGCTCACATAATTAGGCATTAAGCTGTTCTTTTTCACGATGTGCATAAATTTCCTCTTCAATAAAACTAGATTGAAACTTAGTGATCACAACTGTTGGCGTGAATAGCAGATCAAGGCATATAAAATGCCACAAACTCTTTTCTAATGCACTGGCACAGAGAAGTACTTTAAAAATTGTAGAAATTGCATTTATTAGACGCAGACCTTGGCCAAAAGTATAAAAGCTTCGGACCTTTTCGCAAGCTTCTTAATCTAATAACAGCGTCAAGACAGAAATCCATAGAGTTTCAACGCAATAAAACGACTCGCAAAGTTACTGTATGAAAGGTACGCACAACACTCAAATCACTAACCAAAGAAACGAGCAAACAAAAAAAACTGCCAGCAGACTAGCAGATATGTGGAAAACTACAGCCTTGAAATGTGGCCGTGCTTGTAACAGCACCTTAACTATTACCCTCGTAAGTAGGCACTACAGTTGAGGAAATGGCTATTCTCACGACGATATCATTCCGCCTGATTCACAAGACTCTTAAATGTTAAAACATCGCAACGAGAAATAAATAACTTGTGTAAACAAGACTTCAGGAACGTTCCTCAGCGCTTTGTACAGCGAGACAACAGCAGTGGAGTTGGCTCGCGTCCTCCCAAGCGACGTCACTCAAAAAGCCTAACGCGCGTCAGTGCAGATGACAGGCGCGCACCATGACAAGCATGAGGAGAATAAAGAGCGGCGCAAACACCTCCGAGTAGACGAGGCTACTCTTTTGTCCTTCGGCCTTGAGGCACAGCAGTAACTTGAAGAGAAACATCAGCAGAAGTTGCATAAAGCTCCACACCGCGCGAAAGGCGCCCGCCTTGTACACGCCTTCGATGTACTGACGTATGAAGACGATGACGCAGAAATAAGCGTTCAAGCCGTCGCAGATGAACAGCGACACAAACACCGTCCACCAGGACACGTCGAACGCCTTGTCCAGCTTGAGCACGACCATGACGGAGAACAGGGTGATGGAGATGAGGTGCACGAACATCTCGAACACCGTCATGCCCAGCCATCGGGCCAACTCCTTTAGCTTGAACATGGTGGCGACGCGCCGCTGTCAATTCGCTCCTATATCATTCGGCACTGTCAGTCCGTGATCGCTTTTGCGCCGTTCCATAGCAGGAAAATGCATCACTCGAGACTTCCAACGTCATTACGGGCAAATTAAAAACCCTTGCGGTAATGCGGAAACCACTTCTCCGTTTGCAATTTGTTTATCTTGTTGAAGCGGCTTCGATTTTGGATTTGGCTGAACCAAACGGTGAAGAGCCAAACAGATCCAGAAGCATTTATATTAAATGAAAATGAAATAATTAAATTATCAAAATCAACTGCGTATGAACAGGCAATTTCGTTCAGATGTTATTAATTGCTTTACAGTTCCCGCGCACATTACCTGCAGCAGCGTGTCACGTTACTTTCGCTTAGCAATCGAGCCGGTTTGAAGCGTGCTGCGGTGGCGTGTTGTCTGCTGTACAGCCAGGCAGGTAGAGCTGCGGTGCAACGGCGAGCATGGCAGCGCTGCTATTTCGACTCATTCCGAGGGATTTCAAGCTCGTTCCCCGAGAAGTTCGGCATCACGCGTCCAAATGGGTGACTAACTGCGCTACCTCGCTAGCATTTACCGCTTGCACGACCAGTAAAACCCCCAGACCAAACTGCGCTAGCGTAGTAAACTCGATTGGCGAGGTATCGTGCGTACCATCTGCTGATTCTTCCAATCGTACCCCTTTGGGGCACGAAAATCACGCCACCAGCGACATGTTTTTGTCGAACAGTCGCTACGGCCGGTTCGTTGGCCTCGTTTGAAGCGAGCGAAATTTTTGAAGCTGACGAGCTCGCGATGTGTGGCACGATTGCCGGCTCTTTTGTTTGAACTATGGGCGAGAGCCACCGTGGACGCGACGAGGACCGAGGCTTCTGGCATTTTTGTCATGGCTATCCGATTTTTCAATGCAGCGGGGACTGTTGTACACACAAAAAAAAAAAACTGTGCAGACGATCAGTCGTTGACGAATACGAGTTCGTGTGCTTCGAACACGCGTTGATCGCAGTTAACTAGGCGGGAACTTGGTTTCTATTTACGTATAAGCAGTTACCCCCTACGCTTCTCTTGCTCTTTTTATTTCCTCTTTCGATCGGGATTGCCGTCGTACAGTCTTTAATGGCGTACTGCTTACGACGCCGTCCCATGTCCTGATTCACATCCTCACTTAATCACACCATGGCTGTGCATCGTACTTGCGCGACTTTGCTAACGCATAACCTTGTAAGCAGCAAAGTTGCGTGCATCACAATCGTAAGTTCGTTAACTAGCCACGCCATTGCTTCCTTCACCTCTACACTGTCGTGACCGTACATTTAAAATGCGGATGAACTAAAGGCACCATAATCACTGCAAGTAACAGATGCAATAAGGATGCCTGGCTGCGATTCGTAAGGATCGTTTTGTTGTGATCGCAGGTTCGCATAACTTGTTTTTCGCGTCGGTCTTTCACCTCTGACTGCGCTTTCAGAACAATACGAGCTGCATGTCAGTCTGCTTCCTTCTACAATCTATCAAATCATTGTTCTTGCATGTCAGTCTGAGGACGCTGAGCAAAAATTATTCACTCTAAAAAAACAAAGCCCGAGTAATAAAAAAATAAATAATTCACTTTGTTTCTTAGTTGAGCTGTGCAAAACACTCGTTCTCATAGAATTTGTGCCTTCGCATTATTGCCACTCAAACAGAGACACTGACCCACATTTGAATTCGCAGAACTTGAGACGAAATCTGCATGCCTCGCGCACTGCAAGCAGCATTCCACATCGTCCGGTGGCATCACACAGGCAAGCCCGTCTGCCTGCATTGCGCCCCTTGCACACCAGCTCGTGGCTTCAGGAAATTGTGGCATTCAAGCTCTCTGACATTGGCGAGGGTATCAGCGAAGTGACAATCAAAGAATGGTGGGTCTCACTTCAATTGTCCTATGCATAGGCCGTTTCTGCCCATGGCTATGTGTGTAACATCCTAGCGCTATGTAGTAGTCATCATCATTAAAAGGAGCCCTGTGATGCATTCAAGCGAGTCATCTCTATCGCTTCTGGAGCTTTAAAATGCACCGACATCGTTGCACAAGTGACAGCGCAAGAAACAAGGCTGTTATAATGTCATTTCAGAGAAGAAACTACATTAGTTTGGGCTAGAGTGACATGCCATGGCTATTTTTGTGATCGGAAGTGACGTTTTATCACAAGGGAGTGACAACATATGCCGGGAGTTTTCATTGATTTGCTACAAGTCTCGTGTAATATTTATACAGTCCCAGCTATACCACACAACTGTGCACTAAATATGATAAAAGCACTGCTTATAGTTTCTAAAATAAAATAGGATTTCTGTTTTTAAGTATGAAATCTAGAAAACAATTCCAAAATGATGCTAGGTGGGCTGCACAGCTGCCACCATGAGACGAGTCTTCCGGTATGTCTCTTAAGAGACGTGTAATGATTTAAACTGCCCTTTCACATCAGTAAAACAGTGAGATGCGAAAGCGAACATTTTTTTCTCATCATCTGCTGAGGTCTTGTTTGAAGACTAATAACTTTCATTACCGTGCACCAATTCCACTACCTTGTGTTGCATTCATCCCAGTATCAGCTCAGCACTAGACACACTCCAGCGCTGCAAGAAGCTGACGAAAAAACGTCAAAACGTCACAGGGCTCCTTTAAAGTAATACATTACAAAACCCAATGCGTTGCACAGAAAGCCAAATGTGTCATGTGAAATAACTTCCACTTCTTGTGCAGCTGTTGTCCTTTTTCTTTACGGACGAATTGATGTGCACACTATGCACTACGGTGTGACCATTGTAGACTACCTTTGAGTGTGCTGTGAAAAAATGAGTACCTTCTCCCCCTTTCAGGGCACCATTTTCTATTTACTTGGAAGCCTATGATCAAACATTAAAAGTTAAGCCACAGTGATCCCAAATGTAACTTCACTATGTCCAATTCATGATAATGCACACACTGCCATTATCACAATGCTCCATGGCATGTGCCTTGGATTTCTAGGTGCTTTCTATTATATCTAAATTACTTCACATTCAAGCTGTGCTATGAAAACAAGTTTTTGAAAATTGTTTTCATAATTGTAGTGGGCGGTGTGCTTTGCAGTGAAAGACAAAGAGATTGACAAACTCGAACATCATGGCCATGACAATCAGTTTACCTAGTCATCCAGCTAATAAATGATTTTTTGTTTTGGGCCTTCTGTTCCCACATAAACATACCATGATTGCTCCCAGGTGTTCATTCATTGGCTGCTCTGAAATTGTTTTGTTGCTATGTTTTCGTGCTCATTTATTTACTCCAAAATGTTTTTTGCTGCTCTAATCTTGTTTGATAAGCATCTTTAAAAGGGCCATGTCACAGTCACCCAACAATTTGTGATTTTCAGTGAAAACTTGAAGAGGGTCTATTATGCCTACACGGACATTAAGTGTGGACTGTAAAATGACATTCAAGTGCAAAACAAGCCTTTGAAGTCGCCGGCTATGAACACCGCTTGCCGGCAACCATCATTTTGCTGTGGCGTCTTTGATGTTGTGTGTGGAAGGAGCAGAGCATTTGTCTGCTACCACAGTTTCAGCCGCTTCAAAATTCTTAATAGCAGTTCCAAGCTGAAGAAAACTACAATATCTTAATTTCACACCAGCTGACCGCGGAACGATATTGTTCACCAGAATGTAGACGCTTGCACAGCTACCTGCTTTTTACGTCACAGCTTGCGAGTGCACCAGTGTTGTCAGACACTCAGGCCACTCACGCGTTTACAAAATATTTCAATTATAAACTAAATGGTCGACCAAATGCACTAAAATTTCGCCAGTTTATTTGTGAATGCACAAGGATTAACCCACGTGACACAGATTATGATCGAAAATTGGGTGTAATGGCTCCTTTAGCTATACATACCTGATATTGTTGCTGCCTCCAAGTGGAGCTTTAGGGTGAAAAAATAGCAATCAACAAATACAGACTCGGCGTACTTTGAAACCATGCCATTTGTCTGAAACATCATTCACCTGAATAATACACCAGTGTTTTGTGGGAGTTTACCAGTGATTGAATTAAGTGAGCATAGGTATCACACACACGCCCTGTGATCTGTCCAGGTATGTCAAGCCTGGGGACAAAGTAAATCAGTTTGACAGCATCTGTGAAGTGCAGAGTGACAAGGCGTCAGTTACCATTACAAGCCGCTACGATGGCCGAATAAAGAAGCTGTACCATGAAGCCGATGACACCTGCAAGGTTGGGTCTCCGCTTGTCGACATCGAGGTTGATGACGACTCGCTCAGTGAGCTGCTTTCTCGTTTTTTTACTTCTAACTCAACTGGCCTCGCATGTCTTGTATGTGACAGAGACAATACACTAGTACCTGCTGCTCACTGTATTTTTTTTTCGTTTGAGCACCGTGAAAGTAAAATCAAGGGCAAAATGTCTCGTGTTCTGACAAGGACTCCTTATTCACGTAGTGTTGTTGGCGTGAACACTTTCTTTTGCAAAAGTATAGCTCCTCTGTGGTGTTTCCAGCAACAAAAGAAAGCAAATGACAATTAAAAATTAAGGAGAAAATAATTTATGATAAAGTTAAAATGACCTTATAGGACTGTGCAACAAGCCCAAACATTTAGCTTTTCAAAATAGGAGCCAGTTTGAAAAAAAGGTGTCAGTTTGAAACTAAGACCATGTCAAAAATTTTTTATAAAGTAGAACCACTCTGATACGTTTTTGAAGAAACCGTAAGAGTCGATGGTTGCAAAAGCCGAGAAACAAGACAAAAGATCATTTAGTGATGCAAAAATTTAGTGGTACAGAAATGTTACCAGATGCATCAACGTCTACGAGCAATATAGTAGCACTGTTGGCAGTGTTTGATCACCATGGCTCATCATGAATGGTCGAATGTCTCGCAAAAGTGAAAGTACCCATGAAAGCTATCGTAAAAAAAAATTACCTCTGCTCCACAAACTCCTGAACTTCGTCATTGCTGCATGCACTGGCAGCCTCGGACACAATCTAGCTGACAGATAGAAATGTTGAGCGAGGAACGGTATCGTCTACAGAAATGTAACCAACATACACCATTCTTTTGGCACCAATAGTTCTAGGCTTGAAAAGACTAAGCACACAGGCAACAAGACTAGTGCAACGAGTCCGAACCGTGCGAACTCTTCTTACGAATTACGAATAAGGAGGCCATGCCAAGCCTGAAGGCCTTACTTTCATTTTAATTTAGAACCAATGAAATCATACTTGTCATCTTTGCAATGCAAATGTCGAAGGCTACGTTTTAGTACCAAAACTGGAAGTACATTATACATGATGTCACTTGTGCCATGCAAGTGCCTCATCTCATGGTCAAGCCAGGCCGAGCTACTTGAAAAGCCAACATGACCTCTCTCTTTTGTGGTTGTTCGGCCAGCTCACAGAGCACTTTGCAATGTGCCACATGGGAATGGTCTCGCAGTTTCAACGTAATGGCAGTGTTCCAATTCATTGAATCCTTTGGGAGCTATGCCAAGACTGGTGCATAACAATGTAACAGCAAGGCTCTACTGTATCATTAGGAAAACACTTTGATAAAAGTGTTTAGAATGAACATGCAAGCATTTTTCAGTTCACGCTACATTTGCATGCAATGAACTTAGAATTAAGGGTATATAATAAACTTATTCACTGACATGCAACTGAAATCACTTCTCTTGCACCAACAAATCGCTGTGAGGCCGAGTCACACTCAGGGCCAGCCGCATGTCCGCTGCTGGATTCAGCCGATTCATGTGCTTAGTTTTCAGATAGACATGTTGAGATTCTCACAAACATGTGTTGTTGCAAATGACAGCAGTATGTCAACTGCCTTATCTTTGGCACATATTTAAACAGTACAAATGCCCATGAGGGTAATATAAGGCCTCCGTGATTTAAGTGCACTAACTTAACACGGCTTGTTTGCAGAGTGTGGCCGGCTACTAGCTGCTGGTGAAATTGGTTGCATTGCTGGAGATTGTTTTAGTCACTGAGATGCACTTATTGACATTCAGGCATAAGTAATTGAGGTTCCTTAGTTTGCCATCTATGTGACTTGACGAACGCCGTACAAAAGCCGAACGCCGAACAGTGGCTCCGGGAAGCTCTAGGAGAGGGGCCTGCAGAACCCACTTTGAAAAACCATGCCTTAGATTGACCTACTTCCTTTGACAACTCTCTTCTACTATGTACATTCTCTAAGAAACCAAGTTCATTATGAAAGCTGCGGGTGAGGTGCCCCTGTAATCTTGAAATTGATGAAATGAAAAAGTGAACAAGCGAGGGCTGCCATTTGAACAGGTTCATCGGATGATGATGAAGTCCAGGACCAGGACATCAAGTCTCAGCGCAGTGATGAAGAGCAGCCCTCGGCACCCTCAACCACTGAGCCTGGTGGTGGACAAGGAGACAGAGTGCTCACGACGCCTGCAGTTCGTCGGATTGCCATGGAGAACAATGTGAGTGCAATGCCTACTTTATCTTTTTCCAGATACTGCATATACTGATGTAATGGTTGGACTTCCTTTTTCTCCAGAAAATGACACAGATTCTAGAATGTGATCATTATGAGGCCTAAAATTTTTGGGTAAATTTTAAAAGTTGCAAATACTTTTTCAGCATGGTCGGATAACTCTACCAATCTGTGTGACGTAACTTCTTTTTCCAGTGCCATACCTCCCTGATTAGCTTTCAGTGAATTCGGGGTGACAGAAGGGAGAAAACAATTACAGCATCCAACAAATCTCTGCAACTCCGCTCGTTCTTGGCTGATTCTAAAAAGCTTTTGCAGTGTTCAATTGAAGAGGCAATAAACTCATTTAATGAAGCCATTTGATGGTTACACTCAAACCTCATAACAAGGTTGCATCTTACTCAAAATTAAGTTTGTTATATCTAAAAATTTGATATAAACAATTATGTCTATCACTAAATTGCACGACTGTTTTTTTATTTACTTCTATATAACAGGTATTTCAATTATTTATTTATCTCACAATACTGCAGGCCCTTCTTGGGCCCATGCAGGAGTGCATCATACTTAGTGTTCACAAATGTTGAAAAAAAAACAACAAACTGAGACCATCTATACAGAGCAATGAGTATGAGCACATACGAAAACAGCGTTGTATTAACTGTGCAGGCTAAATGGGGTAGCATATGAAATTACTAATGACACCTATTTGGCTATATCCGTGTTTGTTATATTGAGGTTTTGAGTGCATTTGAGAAAATGTTGCAAGGCCCCTTTAGAATGGCGAACGTTTGGTAGTGTCACCGCTCTCTGTGGCATCAAAGTCAGGGTGCAATTATTATGCAGGTTGAAGAGAATAGTGACAATAACCTTCTTATTGCAAAACTAGAGTGGAAGCATTGTCAGAGTAAACATGGCATTCGTCAAACCGCTTATAGCATAAAAAACCAGGTCTTGTTGCTTGTTAGGCAGGCATCAGCTAGTACGTTCTCTCAAAAATCATGGTCTGTTTGCAGGTAATTGTGGAGCTGCAGTGCACTAAATTATGATTTAGTGTGTTTCTCCTGTTCTACTGCCTCCTCATGGAATGCTCTTATTCGACATGGTTTTTAACACCAGTTGGAGATGTGCCAATCAGTTTTGTAGCATATACAGCAGCTCCTTTGTACTTCCTTTTCTTGTTTTATGTACATTCTCTTTACTGTTGATATCTGGGGTTTTAAATGCCAAAACCATGGTATAATCACGAGGCACTTCGTAGTTGAGGGCTACAGAGATTTCTACCACCTAGGGATCATAACGTGTGCCTTAGCATTTAGGTTTCACTAAAAATGCAAGTGCTATGGCCGTAATTGAAGCCACTACTACAGCTAAGCATGGTAATTAACCACTGTACGCCAACGGCACTTTATTCTCCTAACTCTCGATAATAAAACATGTAGTCAAGGGTACACATTCTTCTTCTAGGCACTTGACTGAAAAAAATATTTCAGCCCCTTTGCAGTACACAGCACTACAATATCTGGCACATTCCATTGCAGCCATATGTTTTTTTTTTTGAAAATTCAAGATCTTGCAGCTTTAGCCTCTCTCCACCAGAATGTATGCAGAGGTCATCTTGAAATGAAATGCCCATAAGTAGTCCTTATCTGCATCTTCACAGATGCATGCTTCCTAGGCTTTAGGTCACTTACATCTTACAAAATTGTATTGCCATGCTCACAGATACGTCTCACTGATGTGACGGGCACAGGCAAGGATGGACGCATCCTGAAGGAAGATGTCCTGCGCTACATAGAGCTCAAGCAAGCACCAAGTGAGTCTTCCCATTTACTTTTCTAGGACCATGCCATTGCATGCTGTCACAGTACTGCTGCAGAACTTCTCGTGAAATCTGTAGACTGTGTTTTGTATGAAAGGACAACTTTGTTCAAATGCTTCCGTAAAAAATTAGGTTCCGTCACTGCTTACATCCTTGCTGCTATGTCCCTCCTTTTGCCACTCTTGTTTTGCTGCAAGATATATATTGCCCAACCTACCAGGTGGGGGGGGGGGGGGGGGGGGGAACGTTTACCGCACATCACATTGAGGCCTTAGGTTAACGTGCAATTCAGATTGTGTTGCAGAACCTAATTTTATAGTTCATTTTTCAGCTAAACTCTTTAACAATGAAACTTGACAGAGAGGCAAACAAAAATGTGCTTTTGCAATGCTTGGTTGCTAAGTGAAACAGCCCAAACAAGGAATGCATTGAACAATCAGAGTTCACTGCGAAAAGTTTGCTAGGCTAGTCTGTGAACCTCACTTTCTAAATGTGCAGTGTTGCAAACTGTTTAAACATGCAGGCTAATGCATATTTAGATAAAAGTTTTCACGGCTTAGCAGCCCTCCCTGCAGGCAAATACACCTAACCATTCCTTTTGGATACTTCAATATTTCAACAATTTAAATTAAAATTGAAGTGAACTCGTATAGTGTGATATTCATTCAAAAAATTGGGGGACCCTTAAAGGGCCACTCACCAGGCCCCATACCAAATTTTAGTTAGACAGTGGAAGTTGTTGGGTGTTTGATGAGGAAAATTTTGCCACAATAATTTTTTGAATCGGTTCACTACGAGCGGAGAAAACGAGTTTTTTGAAGCAGTGCAAAACGAGGATGAAAGGAGGCGAGCTAGAAACCCTTGCCACTCCTTCGCGTAGCCTTCGCAAGTCAAATCTCTTTCCCACCCTCTCAGGCATCCGCCCAAAAAGTCACGTGCGCATGACGTGCCCAAACAAGTCCAACCTCCGAGCACGCGAGCGGCGTTGCTTTGTTGACCAGCATTATTTTGTGGTCTTCTGCCTGTTTCTGCGGGATGGTTTGGAAACCCTAGCGTAGACACTGTAGAATAGATAAGCACAATGAGTGCGCGAATGCGTAGGAGCGTTCCACGGTGGTCGTCTGCTCGATGCGCTGATCGTGGGTACATGAACGCATGCGAAACGTCAACACATTAGCCCCGCATCTCGTTGCAATTCATGGGAGAAAAATTGAAAAAAAAAAAGACGCTCACAATCCCTCATTGCATCTCATTATGTATCTAGAGCTTTATTAATCTCTTCAAGCAACAAATTACATAAACTACACACGCCGTGTTAAATAAAGTTTGCCATGTCACATGCCACTGTTTAATACGTTAGAGTAGTCGTCTACGTAGAGGACCAACATCACTGCATTGCCGTGTACGTAGGGACATTCATACGTGCACGTTATGCCCTAATTCTCTAGGCGCGCGCCGGCATAAGGGAGGGGGAGCAGCGTTCATCTTGAAATTTGACCCATTTCCGCGGCGCGTAGCGTTGCAAATTTTGGCAGATGTGATCATGAACACCTCATCTGCGCATTGCCCTTGTCAGCTCGAAATTGTCAAACCTGATGAGTGGCCCTTTAAGCTTCGTCTTTAAGAGTTAAACATTGAACACGGTAGCGAAATCCGGCCCCTAGTGTGCCCTTCAACCGCTAAGTGCATACTTATTATGTTTTGTTGCATACACACACACATGCATGCGCGCACACATGGACACAATAGATTGTACCAGCACGCGCGCGAATGGTACATACAGGTTTTTGATCTAGCAAGAGTAGATACACGCCACACACTTGCCATCTCGGAGGCCATAAAGAGTCTGATAATGCCTCACAGATGGCTGCACATTATCTAGCGTTTGCTGTTTGCTTGATCATTGCTTCTGGAAAGGCATGACATGTTTTCCGCTAGATGGACATAGTTGTCCATTTTTAGAGCTGTTTGAAAGTTCCTGTGTGTTTTTAGCGGCGATGGCTGCACTATCCTGGCCTTTTTCGACGTAGTTTGAGGCGTCCAGAGTGCGCCTACAAATCGCCGAATGGGCTCATTTTTGTCATGACACCTGTAGAACAAAATGCATTAAAGGGGCCCTGAAACACTTTTTCAAGTAACCATGGAAAGAATTTACTAGAAGAGCTTATTGCCTCACGAATTTAACGCCTCAAAAATTTTAAGAATCGGTCCGGTGCGAGTGGAGTTACAAATTGCACTATCTCTTCTCTCGTCCCGACAAAAGCACTGCAAGGCAAGCAGAAAGGGGCGGCAGGGGTAAAGAAACTACATCACCCGCACCTTGTGACCTTGCGTACTTTTTTCTTCGAATGCGCAGCTTTTTCAGTGTGATCGCGCGTGCACGTTTGGACAAGTAGCGGCCTCCGGCGGCTATCTCTGTAACGAGCTTTTTCTCTCACAACCAACAGTGCCGACGTCGACGGCGAAATTTCTGCGACATGAACTCTCAAACCCTATCACGTTAATATTCATACAAGCCTGGGTATCTTGCGCATGTGAACAAGTCAATAGTATGTACACTATAGACATCACAGGAATCACAATTCCTGTGTCGCGAAGTGTGCCAGAAATGCAAAAAACATCACAAGAGGGAATAAAACGTCATTTTTTTATTTTCAGAGGCTGGTGAGGGGCCCTTTAATGAAAAGGGGTGTGTCACCATTTTCACTTCACTGGGAACAAATTTCATTCAGACAGAGCATAGCTGAGCACGAAATGAACCCGTTCCATCACCATTTTGTGATGGCAATGTCATTACATCAGCCACTTACGGTCAGTTGTTTCTAATGCTGTTTAAGGTGGTTTCGGTGTCATACGTGACCATCTCTTTTTGTGAAACGTGCTTTCTAAATAACGTCCTCGCGCTACAAAATCAGTCTGCAAAACAAAATTTAGCAGTGTCACCCAAAAGACTATACAATATCAAGTTGCTGCATGGCACATCACCAGCGTCACTATTCAACACCTAAAAGATCAGTTCTGTTTTTATGCAGTGGACAGCGCGCTATTGATGTGAGGCCTATGGGTTACTGTGCGAAATAAATTGCTTTCTTTCTCGCCATGTTTTTTCCGGCATTTCAATGCGGAAGCATTACTTGGAAGGCTTTATGAAAGTGTGGGCTGTGGTGGTGCTGACACCCCGTGTAATGTTGTTTGCGCCTAGTGGTGCACGTCTCACGCAAAAGTCGTATTTGGGGGTCACAATATTGAGTGGTAGGTGGCATTGTGTTGTCAAGCATAGATCACCGCTATTATCATCATGGTTGCTACAGCGGTAGCTCTGGCGGTGACCCCTGGCGGCAGGCAAGCCTTGGTGGTGACAGAAAAAGTTGAGCGAGTATCTTTCTGCGCGAGGTGTTTGGCGCGAACGGTTGTCTCTTGCGGTGTGTCCCTGGAGCACGGCATCGCGGGCCGTCTGCCGGGGGCCTGCGTGGTGAGTCAAGCATTGGTGACGCCGCCTTTTGTGTGCTCTTGTGTTTGTTATGTGGTTACGTGCTGAATGATAAAGTGTAAAGATGTCTTGGCGGGTTGATCACGATTGATGTATAATGATTCGGCTGACGATATCGTCGATCAAAAAGTAGTTAAATAAATGTGTGTTGTCGTTTGGTTTGTCCCGACCGTGTCTGCCGTGTTTATTCACTCCAAGAGCGTGGCGTGGCTCTCTCGATTTCGAGACCCCAAAGTGCTAGCTCACTGTCTCAAAAAGCTGCATGCGGATGACACATGACCTCTCCCACCAGAATTACCAGTGCCAACAAGTGCCGTAAGATTCACTCGTAGCTGCATAGTAGGAGTGAAATCCGCACAACAGATGAGGAACTCCTAACTTGAAGGAAGCACGCCCCTGTCTGACATTCAGTTGGGCGTCCACACGAAGTCGAACGAGAAGGAAAGGTTGACGACGTAGTGGCTTTTCCTTTCACATAGAAAGTTTTGTTGACCAAGTCACGTAAATCAGCACATGTCACTTCCTGTGTTGACTCATTCTTTGCTAGGAAACTAGGGAACACGACTTAGTATCAGCACCCACACCTCCAGCACTTCGCTAATATACTCCTCGGTCCCAAAGTACCCAAGTGGGTACCATTGTTTCAAAAGCCCCAGACCATCACAATTCGATATCTGTGTGTCCAAATTTGTCTTGTATATATAAGGATGAGTTGCTTTCACGAAGCCCTGAGAAGTGGTACCGTGTGTTCGAAACTGCTTCACATCTAAGTTTTGTTTTATTTACTTCTTTTTTGCATGTGTTGTTTCGTACGATAGCCACTCGAAAGGGCCGTCCTTGTTTATGGGCAGCTGCGATTGGCGAGCCTCCCAGTGCTGCGGGCACCGGGTCAGGACAAAGGCGACAGCCCCGCTTTATTGCACTTAGCGAGTTTGGATGCAAGAAGGGGGAAACATGCCGCTTTGTGCATACGTCGCGCGCAGGGTGTTCGACACTGCTTCCCCGAATGGCGAAGCGACGTACCTCCCCCTCTGACTTCGTGGAACCATTTGTGCACATGTGTGTGTGGGTGGTATGTGCGCGTTTGTGTCAGCGTGCGCATATGTGTACTCGGATCTGTGGTCGAGAGAGGAGAGCGAAAAAGCACAGGAAGAGCCAGAGACGTGGTGAGAACGGCGAGCGAAGAAGAGTCTGCGAATTGGGAGCGACTTCAGTGGTTGTGCGGTATTGAACGGTTGTGCGAACAATATTGTAACCTAGTTTTTTTAATTATATACAAGCTTCTTTTTTTTTACATTTTCTTAACAGTGCGCGAGTCGTGTGTTGCTTCTTCTATCATATTTCACCTTTTTACGGCCATATCTGTGACTCCCTAATATTTACCAAAAGCGGGATAGAGGATGCTAACACGTGTGTCTAGTCATATTAGCAAAACGAGCGATTGAAAATGACTGAGCACACTGCACGAGCGCTCAGCTGCGTCCTCGTGATAAGTGAAAGCTTCTTTTCTTAGTTGTAGCGTGAATGACATCGTCTATAGTGCATTACTTCAACTGTGCACACCCTGTAGATCATAGTGAAAATCATTTCGGTCTGATATATTTTTTATTCAATCTTAGAAACTTTAAATCATCAGGAGTACACAAATGGATACCATCACATTTTGAGACAACCGTTCACTTTTTTGGATTCATAATTGATCTGCATTTGTTTTTAATAGTAGGGAATCAAATAATACAGTTTTGCAAAAGTCTTCTTCATTGGTGCATTCTTGGGACTGAGGAGGATATAGACAAAACAAACATTTGTGTTTTCCTATTTGATAAGAATAGGAACATGCTTAGGAATCCTTTGTATCTTTTTTTTCTGTAATTCTGTTTTCAAGTATTTGAAAGGTCATTCAAGAGATATTAAAAAAGTATTATATTCGAAATATTCCATTTGATTGGAACGCAAATTTATTTAAATACACTTCGCACCCAAAATTTTGCGATTTGAGCAGCTCTGCTCATCAGTCATTCTGTTAATGCAGAACCATCAGCACCAGCCAAGGCAGCACCCGCAGCTGCTTTGAAGCAGGCAGCACCAATTCCAGCTCCAGTTCCTCAAAAGCCAGTTACAGTCAAGACCTTGAAAGCTGTTGAAGACCGTGTTGAGCAGGTGAAAGGCATCCGCAAAGCCATGGCCAAGACCATGGCACAGTCTCTGGCCATCCCACACTTTGGCTATTGCGACGAGATCGACGTTACACGACTTGTAGAGCTACGACCAATACTCAAGCCGCTTGCTGACCGCGTCGGTGTACGGCTGTCTTACATGCCTTTCTTTGTGAAGGTTGGTACCCAATGTACTATGTTCCATTCCACACTGCATTTTTAATGTTGTATGTATTGTGACTGCTATATTTACCCCACAAGGAAAGTATACGGGTTGCTATTAGAAGTAATTGTAATGTTACTGTGAAGAAAGAAAAATGGACGGAAAGAAAACTTGCTAGCGACAAGATCTGAACCTGCAACATTCAAACAACGCGTTCGATGCTCTACTACTGAGCTACGGTGGCAGTCACATCTCCGTCCACGGACGCGTTATTCGAAGGTCGAAGGTTCCAGTCCTGCCAGTGGCATGTTTTGTCCACTTTTCTTTCTTCACATTTACATTACAATCACATTTATTAACAAACCCCTATACTTTCCCTGGCACTGTTGCCTGTTAGTTCTCATTAACATTCTTGGTAAGGCATTGAGGCATCACTTGTGTTTTCTCACACACAGGCCCTGTCCATATCGCTGTTCGAATATCCCATCCTCAACGCTTACGTGGATGATAAAGTTGAGAACATCACGATTAAGGTGAGCCATTACGCTAGTCTATTTTGTCCAGCATTTCAAAACCTTCACGACCTCAGAAATGATTGATTACTACAAGTGAGTGATCAACTTCCAAACAAGCATTACAAGTTCGCATATTTTTTTATTACTGTTTTGTAACCAGGCTGTGCCAAAAGATCACAGATGCATATTGAAGTTCACTCCTTGAACCCTTTGTTGAATTTATTAACACTATGACGAATGCTAGATCAGTTTAAACTTACTCAATATCCTTTCAAAACTTTCGTTTAGGTAAATCTAGCATTACGAGCTTAATTGTTAAAGGAACAATTGAAAGTTTTCCTCCCGCATAATAAATGCACCCTCTACATTCATCCACTGCAGTTCCGCTAACCGACACCTGGCGTCTCCTTGCCTGTTAGAGCTCTTCCATTTTTTATTACATTGCCGACTCCCCTCGGCTATCTTGGCTCGCTCCCTTCGCCCGCTGCCATGCACCGTATTGTTTTTCTTTCTATGTATGCACGGCCCAGCCCCCGTCTTCTTTAATTAATCTGTGCGCCACAACGGGGTTCACGAATAATGCGAGTGTAGAGACATCGCAGCTGTCAAGTAGTCACCATACTGTCCGCACCAACTGACGGTCGCATCTAGCGAATTCGAAACGTTAAATCTAACAATATGCACGCGACTGTCAAGTGACGACGACAGAATGTTCTGTCACCATGGCTGTCGCGAAGGGCCATTCAACGCCATCACGTCGCAAGTTTCTGGAAAACCAGATAAAATGGGTTATTGCCCAGAAAAGATAGTGACAATTTTTGCAACATGCCAGCACCCCCAATTCTCATTTCAGTGGCAATGTGCTCTTCATGCTTGTTAGGAATGCGAGATATAAGCTACCTTTTCTACAGTAACTTCTCATGTGGACAGCAAGGTTAACCTTGTTGTTGACAGTTTTTTTTATGGTTATGTGGTTGCTTGCTGCAATGTCAACGGCAACAGCGTGGTGGTTGTGCTAGGTTGCCACGAAGTTGGCGAAGTGCATTGTAAGGTCTTTGCGCACATTTTCGGGCGTTTTTCGAGATCACAGCAGATACCACTGGTGTGGTTAAAAGATAGCCGCAAAACGCTTTTATGGAGGAGGAGGATTGAAAGAGGAAGGACAGGGAGGTTAAATGAGTGTGCAGGCGGCGCAGGGACAGCGTGCAGAAAATAGCGTCTTCGACCACCAAAGATCAGTGAAGTGCAACAAAGATGCAACATTGTACGCATATGTCAATTGTGAAAGGCTAAGCAACCTAACTTTTTTTTTGCGTTACCTCATTTTTCGCTCATCCCGAAAAAATTTGCCCCGCATATGAACGCACACCCAACTTTGCTCGGACTTGTTTAGAAAAAAAGTTTGTTCATTACCCGAGTAAATACAGTAATTTCTAGCATTTGAGCCAGTGTCATGCTTTCGAGCTTCTAAAAATTCACCGAGCATCTTCTTATAGTAATAATGGCTTTTGTGGCATTGTATAAGTGCAATTTAATCAACACAGTTTAATTTAGTATCTGATTATTCTAATAAGACTCCAAACTGATAGAGTTGATAGCTGTTCATTTTAACTAAAAACAAATGAACAAGCACTTGTCCTGTTTTACTGCTTCGTTTTTTTTTCACCTGCGTTTGACTTTAAATTGGCTCATAAACTATTCCTAAATTATCCAGGGGGCATACTCATTGACGATTGCTTTCAGAGCTGAATAAAGAATCACAGATAACAATAACTTTTGGCCATTACAGGGCTAATTTAGAGGCATACGTTATAGAAGATGTTGCTTCACAGCAATAGATGCAAAATCACCTAACCTTTCACCAGAGGCATTTATTAGCCACGATTTCTGAGCTGCGGTCCTCATGAAGTTCTATATTACATTTGCACAAACATTTTGAGAATGGCGTAATGATGTCTTTGTTTGAGAATATTATTCGTGTAGCATTGTGTCCCGGCTTATGATAATTTACTTTCCTTGTGAGCACTCAACTGGTTGTATAAAGCGAAAGAATACAATCTAAAGTATTGCGGACCTGAAGGTCTCAGGTTCAAATCCTGGCCATGGTGGCTGCATTTCGATGGTGGCATAACAAAGCTATGCTGCTTATCACTAATTTCTTATTTAATTGCATGTATTATTTTCTTGACCATTTGACACGATTCCTCCGATCCAACAATGAATATTTCATAGCGCTAATTGAGTGAGCAACCAATCTTATATTAAGCCAGTGCATTTCAGCTTTGCACAGTTATGATTATTGCAAGCTCTGCTTCTACATTTTACCCATCAAAGGCTCTTTCGCTGTAACAAAGTCACAGCATAGTGACCGTGTATAGCGAAGCGCATTTGAAGAAATACATTGCCATCTTGTTTGCTCGTTAATATCACAGTAAGGATAAATTAATGGATACCAAAGTAGGAGAGCCAAGTGAGGATAAATAATCACAAAATATTGATGAAATCAGTAAAAATATGCAGTTCTTTCATGGGTATGACAAGCGAGGGTGGTTCGCGGGGCAGCATTGTACTTCACAACAAACTTATTCATAGCGATGGCAATCATGTTCTGTTCATACTAGGGCGCCCACAATGTTGGCATTGCCATGGACACCCCACACGGCCTTGTGGTACCTGTTGTGAAGAACGTGGAGTCCAAGAACATCATGGAGATTGCCGCTGATCTCAACCGACTCCAAAATTCGGGTGCGGCAGGGCAGTTACAGCAGGAGGATCTCTCCGGTGCCACCATCACGTTGTCCAACATTGGCGCGGCAAGTTCCTATATTCCTAATCTTGTGACTGCTGCCGTGTTGCATGCATGCAAGCTAGCTTTCGATTCTGTGGTTTGGGTTATAGGCAGAGTATGGAGGGGGGAGGGGGCTGGGGGGCTCAGGCCTTCTCCAGGCTGCATGGGGGGAACAGACCTTCCTGGCGCTGACCCGGGATATTTTTTAAAAGCTTGGCTAAGATTCTTACCCTCGGCTAACGTGCTGTTGGCCATCCTGTTTGGCAGTTATTCCACAGGGGGCTGTTTTGTGCCCGTTCCTTTCCCTTTGGGGCTTTCAAAAATCGTATCACGAGAAGTGACAAGTAGGGAGTCTGGTGCTCTGGCCACATTGAGAACAAAGCCACCGGACGATGAAAATTGTGGAATTTGCACGGCTCTTGAGCAAAACAGTATGATATATATACACACACACACATTCGTGCACACCCGCACACACACACATATATATATATAGAGAGAGCATGTGGAAGAGCAAGTTGGGCTCCCCGCCCCCTTCCAAGACTATGAAAATTTTCCACCCATGGCTTGGTTCACATGGCACAGCTCTAGAATTAAAGTTTGACCGTTTTTGATTGTCATCACCAACTTAAACAACCCAAATCCTTGAAATCGATGAATCTGGAAGTGGGGTGGTTTGCTGATTGACTAAACTCCCAAACATAATAGGACCGTCCTTGTTATTGCTCATTCCTACACTGAACACCACTCCTCCATATAGAGTAAAAACTGCAATAAGTAAACCTTTTGTGAAACACTATACCTTCCTTGGGACTCTGCCAACCCTAGCAAAGAAGCTGAGAGAGTAACAGTAAGTTACCCTCAGAGCTAGTTGAGAGTGCCAAGTGAAGCCTGTAAGACCCAAAATTTTTCTTGAAAATCTGCATACCTTACACGGTCAATACAAAAAAGTAGGCCTGTGCGAATAGCAAATTTTAAGTTAGAAGAAAATTCAAAGTACGTAGTAACTTGATCGCATAATTTCAAATCAAAGTCAAATATTATTATTAGGAAAAATGAACTTAACCGTCATAATTCAATTCTCAAATCAGTCTGTCAGCAGCGGGTGCACGTGAGTAGTGGGTGCTCACTTGCGCTCGCCGACGAACCAATTTGAGAGTTTATTCAACAACACGGAGGCCTATAGAACGCGAAGCTCATTAGGCTTTGTCGAGCATTGTCAAGGACTACCGGTGATTAGTTCCGGTGAAAATGGTGTTTTTGGCAGAATGACTTGATGGAAAGGAAAGTCTGCCTCACTATCGCTGGAGACTGACCTCAAAACACAAGTACTTTTCGTCTCAACCTACTAGGCATGCACAACAACATCGATGAAGTGATTGAAGCCGAGACTACGGCCCAAGTGCTCTGCCTCTCCCCTCCGAGGCAGGTCGCTCGCTTCCAAGCGAGGCCAGCTTGTCCCCACACCCCTAACTTAAACGAGCAGTAATCCTCCCGAGAGATGTTTAAGCACATACTTGGTAACCCCATTTCCACGAAATGTGCACCTGAAGCACAGCAAAGGCAGACGCCTGTCCCACACTCGCGCAATTCTCGACCAAACAGCCGCGAATCGCAACTCTATTGTATTTGTCAGACTAGCGCTTTATGGTAACTCCTCCACCTTTGCACTTGTGGTAGTAGATGGCAACAAAGCCGTGTGCTCAGCTGTCTCAGTTAGGCTAGCAACGAGCGCCTTAGCCAAGGAGGTTGCTATAGCTTTAGCGATGATTGACCCTTTGCACACCAGTGTCTTCACAGACTCCCGCGCCACCATTAGGGCTTACGAAACCGACTATATTGCTTGTGAAGCAGCCCACAAGTACACAGGCTTGTACTACGTCTCTTGGTTACCTGCCCACATGGACAAAGATGTCCACTCACAGCAACTCAACGTCAACGAAACTGCTCATGATCGAGCGCAAAAACTCACTTGCTGGGAAGATCAATCAGCCACTGAAAAGCTAGGCCCAGACGTACCGTGTAATGACCCTTTACTCACCTTCCACGAAATTTCCTCTCACTACTGAAACGACAGTAGCCAATACCCCTTATCAAATACATAGCTTGAACGTATGCAACAGGTAAGCTTTTGTATGCTACAAGCGAGATTGTACCCATCACGAAGCCGACTCAACCATTACAACTCAGACATAAATCCACAATCCTCAGACTGCACAGAAATGTGCTGTTCACTCTCTCACATTCTCTGGCAATGTCCTGCGTTACCTCAGGGACCTCTCACCAGTGAGTTCGGTTAGGAAGAGGCACTTAGGAGCCCTGAGCTCCACGACTAACTGAAGGCAGTCCAGAGGGCCCAAGAACTGTCCGAAGGCCACCAGTTTCCTGCCCTGACTCTGGCATTGCTTATGGTAGCAGCTGTTAGGGCATCCTTCATGGACCCCTGGTGGCCCAAACTCCTCAGGACCTCTTCATGAAGCTTTTGGATCACTGAGTCCCACTTGATAAATATTGCTGCTCCATTAATGTACAAGTGAAGTTTGGCAGCAGTAGGCAATTTATTTTCGTTCATTTCATCATCAGAGTCAATTCTCGTTCATAACGCCATCTTTTTTTAACTTCAGCTCATGACGTCTGTTACCCGACTGTTTCTAGTGCCATAAAGTGGAAGTGCCCCATGAAAAGCGTTTTACTGTTCCTTTCTTTGCTTTTTTTTAGGTTGGTGGAACTTACGCCAAACCTGTCATTGCTAGACCAATGGTGTGCATTGGAGCAATTGGAACAATTCAGGTATACCTATAGGAATGGTGTTGTATCGCCATCCTATTATCTTTTAATTTTTTTACCTTGGATTTATGTGAGATGCTGTTAACTGACACCGGAAATTCATTGCTAAGCACAAGGCAGTATTTCTAGTCCTGCCAAGAATAGCCCCATTTGCATGGGTGTGAAACACAACACTGCTGCAAGAACCTTTAAAGGTCAGAAGTTAGCTGGGACCTTCTATCTTTTAGGATGCCATATGGTACTCCTTAGCTCTGAAAAAAAATAAGGTATCTATCTGTTGATGCATTCCTATATTCTGTGCATTGGCAATATATTAACAAGCCAGCAATTTCACCCCATTTGCTGGGTCATGAGTCTAAAAGATGGGGCGTGCAAACATGAACTCAAGAAATAAGTCAAGATACTACAAACACTATGGTGATTTCTTGTGTTTCTATGCCGTCTTTAAATTGAATACTTTTCAACTAGCTCAGCTATTATCCGAAGCAGGGTCATTAGTCATGCATTGTTAGTGCAACAAAACATTGCTTCTTAAACATTCTATAGGCCTTCATTATCATTTTGACACACCTGTGCAAGGATCCCTATGGCTGTTTCTGCCGGCATTGATCAAGGAATTTTGTTGGTGATGTGCGAGAGAGTAATTTGCATATTCCACTTCAACATGGTTTCCTTGCACAGTAATTGCTTCACAGTGCAACCAATCATGCCTTTTAGGCTTGCTTGTTATCTTCCCAAAAGTCACCAATTGAAAGTGTCCTGCTAGATGATTGGAAACTTCCTTACATTGTGCCAGTGCTCAAGTCTGGCCCGCACAGCAATGCGTCAAACTACCGGCCGATCTCACTCACTTGCATCAGCCGTAAAATTCTAGAACACATCCTCTTTTCAAACATTAGAGTTCACTTGAAAAATTACTCCTTATTATTTCCTCAGCAACATAGATTTCGACCTGGGTTTTTTCGTGGTAAACAGTTGACAAAATTTACTCATGATTTAGCTAGTGCTCCTGATAATGGTTATACTGTTGACTGTTTGTACTTAGACTTCCCTAAAGTGTTTCACTAATTCAGAAGCTGGCGTGGTACAACATAAAATCTTCTGTTATTGAATGGGTCAAAGTGTAATTGAACGTGAGACGGTAAACGGTAGTATTAAATGGAATGTTGTCCGATCAGGTGTGCCACAAGGGTCTGTGCTGGGGCCGCTTCTTTTTTCTAGTCAACATGAATGACATCGGTTGCGGTAGTTCTTCCAGACTGAATGTTCGCAGATGAACGCATATGTATTCACTTACTTCATAGGCGGACGCATAAAGGTCGCTTGTGATTAGTCCCACCATTTACAATGCTCCCAGAAAAGCGGGAACACAGTGACATTGACAATTTTCTCTAGATGGCAGCCTGGGTCTGAGTATAAGCCAAAAGTGCTTACAAAGGGGAAGTCAAGCCCATAGAAAGCCATTACACATTGTGTTCCATTGTCCACTACATTAGACAAAAAAATCCCACTACCGGGTGTCAGCAGGTCAAGTCTTGTGTTATTTGACGAATCTGCTGACACAGAAAGCATTTCTGTTCGTATTTGATGTAGAGATAGCAGCATCAAAAGCAGAAAGCTGCCTGTAGGGACTGTTGGACAACAGTCATTTGACCTTTCAGCTAAGCGTTTGCGAGAAACTGTTCTGACACCGCAATAAGCACTCTTGGCACAGCAATGAACATAGATCAGCACACCATATGGTCTAAATGTTTTAAGGTATGAGGCCAAGTGGAAAAAGCAAAATTTTTTTCATAATCTCTTTTTTTGGGTTTAATTATGTTAAATGCGCAATTTATTGCTCATCACTTTGCTGCAGAAGATTTCGCCCATGCAGACTTTTTAAAAAGACGACCCATCACCTACAAACCTGAAACTGAAAGTGCCAGTTTTGTATTCATCATAAGATTAGCTTGATATGCAGTATTTTGGTCACTATTTGGCAAGCATATCATAATGCTCTCAAAACATCATCATCAAATCATTTTTAATCATACAAGTCATAAACTTCTGACACGTAAAGTGTTACATGTGTTGTACATGCTGAGACACATATGTGAGCCAGTAAACCATCAAATTTGCCTTTTTTGACGATATGCATTATTTAAATATAATGACAACAAAAGCACATTTGTAATTCTTAAGCAAATTGGGATTGAGCCTGGCCCCTACAACGGAAAAGCATGTTTCACAAGATATCAGCACCGTAGCTCTAAAGCGCACCGTCGAGTCAATAATGCTGCAAAGCAAGTATGAAAAAAAATTTTCTTATAGCTAGATGAAAGGCACACGAAAGTCCATGATGGAACTGTCTATGAATATTGAGAATCTTAGCCCTCCTGAGTATCTTGTGCAAGCATTTCACCTGTTTCAAATCTTTTTTGCTGATTTTCTCAAAACCTATACTCCTGGTATTTTTTTATACGTGAAATGTCAATCTTGTTTTGCTAATTAACATTTCTCATTGAAACTTGTCGCACTTCCATATCAGATTAATAGACGTGCGATGAATCTCAACAAACAAAATCGTGTCTCAAGATTTATTATGGCTACCAATTATATGAAGGTGCCCTTAGTGCTAGTGCATAGTTTTTGGTTATTTAATAACTATGCTTTTACTATTCACCAAATCTCACTAGTTTTGGTTTACTGAACAGCCTAAAGCTTTCTATATGTGCTTTCGAACGAAAAATATCACTTGCTTTATAATGCTCAAAAGACGTGCTTTATATTGTAGACTAATAATTTAAGAGATTACTGCTTTTTAAATAAATTTTTCTGTCACTTAGCCTTATACCATGAATGGAATAGTTAACTACTGTGGCATCAATGGGACATTCGGTACAACATTTACAAAGGTAGATCCATGATATAGAATCTTACCCCGTGCACATTTTGCTGCTTTGACCATTTTAACTTGCTCAAGAAGCACTTACACATTAGCCCCACCTCGGCACAGCGAATTTGCAATCTCACAGTGGACTGCCTCACGCAGGAGCAAAACCTGACATCTCGTAGTGGAGGCAATAATTTATTGCCTCTGCATTAAGCAAGGCAAGAAACAAAGATTAAGAAACATAGAAATGTAAGCAAAATTATGTCCACAAAAACTGCATGGCCATGTTTAAGTTACAATGAAAACATCTGCAGTGTTGTATATACCTAACATATAAAGTCTTTTATATAATGATGTGTTAGGTCATGTGAAAGCTCTCTAAATTTCCACCATAGGATCGGTTATGCATCATTACTTCATTATTCAGTGACTAAGGTCTCCTCCTCTCTTCTTGCCCGTGCAGAAGCTGCCACGATTTGATGCTGACGACAACTTAATAAAGGCGCACATCATGCAAGTCAGTTGGTCTGCCGATCATCGAGTCATCGACGGTGCAACCATGTCGCGGTTTTCGAACTTGTGGAAGATGTACCTGGAGACACCTGCGATGATGCTGGTCCACCTGAAATAGACTTCAGCTATTATGCAAGTGTGCAGTTTGTGACTGTTTAAAACGTCAGGGAACAGACCTGGACTGGATGGAATTGCTGCTATGTGTCCTGTACTATCTCCTATGGAGTACTTGTGAATAGCATTGGCGTCTAGACACAAGTTGCACTCCATCATCCAATGAGGGATGGTCAGCTGCTCATGGACAGTGTTTATTGCCATGCCTTCGCATCTGCAAAGTCCATGACAGATAAAAACAGGGCACCTCAGTGTCTGTTAGGCAAAAGGCTTCAAGTGGCAGCGACCAAGTGTTGTATCCAGTAAGTAAGCGCGGGTGGTAATGGAAGTTTTTCAGGACCGAAGTCTAAGATGCCAACTTACAGGACCACCGGCCATCTAGCCTGTACTATTGTGGGGGCTTTGTAGAAAGCAAGTCAACATTTAAAAACACCTTGCAGCAGATGCATACTGTTGTTTACTGTCACCTACTACCGTGTATCGGTGAAGGTAACATTTGGCAGCAGTCACATCTTATCATGTCAAAGTGAGCAATGCAAATAATTTAATTCAGTGTCCTTTCATAAATTTTAATGTCAAATTCAATAGAATTTCCCGTTTCCTCCTGCTGACAGTCTTTGTAAAACATTGAAGCACAAAAAGATTTGTTAATCTCCAAACAACCTCTCTGCCTTTTATTTTCATGTTATTTTCTGGAATTAGCCTCTGATAAACATGTAAGCTGGCAATTCCACTGCTCTGCATTATAATATACCAAGCAGCAAATAATGCTACCTTTAGAGCTTGACGTTGCCAATGCTATGGTGAGCAGGCAACATGCAAGTGCTGATAGGTAAAAAAAAATGAACTAAGCCATAATGTAATGACATATTAAGCTGTTTAGTTGTTTGATAAGGCTGTATTGTGCACTTGATCGGCATCTCATATCTTTGTCCAGCTTCAATATTTCTATAGCCCACAACATGATTCGAACACCTGCGGCATACCATTAAAGAAGAATGGTTTTCTGTAGTGCATTATGCCATCAACTATTGTGTGGCATTTTCGCATTTAGAGCCTGTGCTTACAAAGTGGTATAAAAACTGAACCACTAAGTTTCTCTATTGTAGAGGCAAAGTGCAAGACTAGCTATGCATGCAATGAAACAATCTTTTTTAAGTATCAATTGACTAACTTTGCTGTGCCAAATGTGCATTGAGTACAAACATTTAGTTTATGAAAGCTCGAGACCTCTAGGTACACTGGTGAGACTTATTTAGCAGCGATGATTAGCAATGCAAGGAACATCAGCAATTCGAATGACCAGTGACTGGGAACAACAGGCTTCGACACAAAGGTTCACCTTAGTTGTGAGGACAATCGGATTTCTTGTGATAGCTGTGTTTGCTCTTTTTTTTTATGGAGCTTTCATTCTTCTTTTCTACTTTTCACTTGTCGTCTAGTGCTTTTTTTTTCCTATGTTGAAATGTCTGCATCCTTCTAATAGTTCTGTGGTCCCCATTCATTCAAAACTATTTGTTGCCAATATACTAGCATGTACAAATACTGTTGCCATACATCACAGTGACAAAAATGCTGAGGGGGCATGGATATCAGCATTGGTTTGAATAAAGACTATGACAAGCCAGAGCAGCAGAATATAATGTGATCCACTCTGTATATCTGCCAGTCTTTGGTGAGTGTATTGCCTTTTACCAAAGAGAGTTAAGAACTTTTCTTTTTCAGCTGAGAACTCTCTTACATGTCACGGGTCAGGATTACTCATAATAGTGACGATCTCCCGGGAAATTGGTTAAAAGGACACTAAAGGCAAATAACAATTTGTCAGAGTGAAAGCTCGATGTATGACAGCGTATAAAAATAAAATGGCAATATTATCAACAGCAATGTCCTACTTACTGAGAAATTAAAATAAACGCACGAGAACGCCTGCCGTCTCGGAAACCGTCACAGGAAATTGTTCAATGGTCGTTGCTGCTGTGGCTCCCGCGCAGTAAAGCCGGGCAGCGTTGCGCAAGGCAACAGTGACGTAAGACGGCCACTTTCAGGCAGGAGATTTGAAGTCCGCTAACGCGATGCGGACCATTGAAACGTGATTTCATTATAAAAAAACGCCATCTTCCCAAAGTAAATCTTGATAGGATGCGAATCAGCAGCTTTGTGCGCGGCGATTCGGCGGAATGCGCGCGGCGCTTTCAAGACGTTGCCGACGACGTCGAGGATTCGCCGGCTTTGGCCTTCTGCTTTCGGCGCTTCCGCTCGGCTTCCCTTGGCTCGCGTCTCGTCGGTGTTACCCGCGCGCCGTCTCCATTCTCGAATGCGACCGGCGTGCTTGACTCGCACCTCGCGGTGTCGTTGGTCTTCCACTGCCTACGCTTGCGTTTGGCTTATCTGGCTCACGCCTCGTTGGTGTTGCAGGCACGACATCGCCATTCGCGAACGCGATCGGCTCTGCTAACGCTCGCAACACCGGCGACGGCCGGGTTAGGCCAAATCGCTTTCCGTCGTCCTCGCCATCACAGATAAACGAGCCGAAAGAGTTCACTCGATGTGCGCTCGAACGCTGCGAGCGGTGGGGAAGGCGAAGCGAGAAAGGTGACACGCGGCGAGCGAGCGGCAGGCGAGGGAAAGAGCGATGTCACCGCGCACTGCCAGGAAAGGTGCGGCCTACTTGGCATCGCCCCAACACCTGCGGCGAGGGGAGCACCGTGCGGCGTGTTGGCACGGAAACACGGACGGACAGCGTTACACAGGTTCAGGTTAAAGAGCTGCTTCGCATCAAATAAGCACTTCCTCGGTACAAAAGTAGCACTTCGAGGTTTCTGAACCGCTGTTTAAGTAATCAACATCGACTTAATGTTTGACTTTGGTGTCCCCTGAGCGGCGGTCACTTCTGAACAAAGATTAGTTGCGAGTTAGCGCCCAGTCCTATGTTTCGGTGTTCCTCCCTGCCATCGTTGATTTTGCGCTTCTAAGTTTTAGGATTATGAACCAACTAGCGAGCCGTACACCGAGCTCATATTAGCTGAGACGAATAATAGCGTAGGTGGTGTTCTCCTACGTCACAAAAATTATGATTTACGGCGTAGTCCATACTTTACAGAAACCGAAAACTTCAAACTGAGTCGATCCTGCGCCACCACGAAGCTGGGCTCAGAATTCGCATTGGACAGTATTGTAATCTTCGGTGTTTTTTTTTTTTTTGCATGCTGCATAAGACAGTCGCAGGACATCTTGCTATTTTTTTATAGAACAAAATTCATTCTCGCAAAACATTGTACAACGTTTTAATATATATGGAGAGTCAAAGTTCCTATTCTTCACTGAAAATTACGGAGCTTTGGAAGGTATCCCTAAAACGTATCACGGTAAGCACACAATTCTTGGCAATATCCCACTATGGGCATGTTCCCTTTTTTGTCAACGCGTACGCGAAAGCTTTGTTTGTTTGTTTGTTTCCCTAGCTAAGTGGCACGTACCCACTTTGGGGGATTGACCACGAATGCAACGTTAAGACTGTTAAATGTTGTTTTAGGTAAGCTATGAACTTGAAAACCAAAAAAATAATGAAATAAAATGGCAAAAAAACGTAATGTATTCAAATTAACTACAAGTAATATGCTTTTAGCTTGTATTCCAGACTGCCGTATTAACCTGATGTGAACAATTTTTAAATATTAGATGTAACTTACTGAAATGACGAATGATTTTATATGCCAGATTAAAATGGCACTCGTTGAGTAGTTACAATGAAATTACACACGGCATTAAAGGAATCCCTGTGGCAGTATCCCAAGCCTGAGGCACCGAAGCTTAAAACATTTTCATCTGATAAGGTCAAGCCAAATTTTGCAAAAGGAGTAATTAGGAGTCGAGTTCTAATGCGAGAGTATCTTGGACATTACAAAAAGTAATGTGCAATATTTTCGAGTTCTCCGCAGAATTGACAGAGGGGTGATATCGTCAGACCAGCCCTCTGCCAGTAATAGTTTAATGGTGGGACACGACATCGAAATCTGGTGATCGTCAATTCTGATTGTCGAGAAAAGCTCCACTGCAATTTCCATGAATATTTTAGGTGGTTAAATTCCGTCTACGTAGTTATTGCTTCCATCCTACCTGTGTGAATAGTTAATCTTCTAAACCTGATTGGGTTTTGAAGTATTCTACCAGCGGGAGAACCTGGACCATTGGGAGATCTAGCGATAAGCGCGCTAAGGCGTCGGCCATTTCATTTAATGTTAACCCAGAGTGACCTGGGACCAATACTAATTTCAGGTACTTCAGCTGAGACGGGCTAAAGATCGTAACGTCGTTTTCGCACGAGAGGTATGAGAATTTGTAAGAGCAGTGCATACCGAAAGCGAATCGGTAATTATTACTGCCCTGTTCCCATTCATCGGAAGTTTTCGCAGTGCCATGACGACTGCCATTAGCTCCGCCTCGATAACCAGAGTGAAATCGGGTAGCCTCACGGCAAATGACCAACCAAGCGCTTGGGAGACTATTCCTACGCCTGCCCTTCCCTCATTGACGGAAGCATTTGTAGCTATTATGTTACGTGCAGCCATTGTGCAGGCAAACGGGTGATGTTTTCTCATCGAAGGCAAGTCATTTTTTCCTCAGTTGTCTCTCGCTCTCTCAGATTTTTTTATCTATAGTAGCGCAGTACACTTACGCGGAAGCGCCACAGAGGACGAAGGGCAAATGCGGATGTGGCTCTTAATTTAGAATTTCATTAAAAATGTCCAATGTTTTCTTTTATTATCTCCATTACTCTAAATTTTCACAAGAATTTCTAAGACCACTCAATTTGTCGGTCAATCCCCCACTGTGGGTATGAGCCAAAAGAGAAGAACGTGCCTTGGTGACGTCACAGTGCCGCGAGGCTCGCAGTCCCGTGGGCTCGCGCGTGAGACCAGGGCTTTTGCGGCATGCTCTCGACCGTCTTCGGAGCCTGCCGGCATCGCTAAATCTTCGAACCGTCCGAGAAAGGCCCCGAGTACAGCAGCCGGCAACAGGGACAGCTCAAGGACCCTGCTCGGTGAGTCGAACGCACGAAGGTTGAGAAGGTCGTGCAGCTTGGGCGCAGACCGTTTCGTATCGAGAACTGCACCAAGGGCGGATCCAGCCACTCATTTTAGAGAGGGAGGGGGGCGCCTCGTGTAACGCAGGACGTGGTCATGACTTGTTGCTTTTACTAACCAAAAATTCCTTCATAGCATAAATACTGTTAATGTGTGCTCCCGGTGGTTTCGCTCATTTGTACGAATTAGGGATAAGAGGTGGACTAAGAGCACTGAAGAGATGGGGGGGGGGGGGGTATCGCCCCTACGCTCTTTAAATCCGTCACTGACCTTACGGCACGTGCGGTGCATCGTCATGGCAGCTAAAGCCTTCCATCGCTCAGGCTCGACCGTAAGAAATTATGTTTGCCCACACAGAGAAATTATTTCTAGCTCGAAACTACAGCTTCCGACACTGGCATTGCGCAAAAGCATATGACTCTTTAGATACACTTCGATCCATCGTTACAAAGGAGCTCGAGATACAAGATTCGCATGCATCACGCTGGTCCTTCTCGGTGACAGAACGTCGACGTCACATCTCGATGCCACTGCAGAGGCGTACGCCGTGCACATACGCCACAATGCACACAGCGTACGTGCGTAATTTTGTGCAGTGCTTGGTATAGCTTGCAAGCCGGTCTGGAAAGCACCTGTAGTGCTGAACACTGACCGTGTGACCTGGCGGGTACATCATCAGAGAGGTACGATAGACCACCCGCGTCCTTTTCGGCCTTGGCGGGAACTTCGCGCGTCACCTGAATGGAGATAGCCATGCTGATGGGGTAAGGCGGCGGCGACTGCCTGTTCAGAGAAACCGGCAAATGGAAAAGCTAGCGCATGCTGACCATTACTGAGGAAAGAGCGCAGGACAAGAGCTTACTCGATCGGGGCTAAGCAACGCGCACGGTGAGGAGACCTACGCACGTCGGCCAGGACTAACGCGAGAGGCCAGAACCAACGTTACTAGATTTGGACCAGAACTAAAGTCCCAACCACACGCCCGCGTTTGAACGCGTCAGCACGCCATGCTTCGCGCCAACGTCCGCTGAAGAGGCCAGATCACGTGTTGACGCGCGTTGAAGACGAGAGCTCTGTCAGCCTTATCGTGTCGTTCGCCGGAAGCACGGCCGGAAGTTGCTGTGGGCGTCCCCTTGGTGACGCCGAGTCTTCACGACACGCGCTGGCGCTTTAGAACGCGTACGTGTGGTTAGGGTTTAACGAATGAGCTCAAAACCAGGAGTCGTCGACCAGTACAACGAAGATAGCAGGTCCAGCGCTCTTCGACCATGCGCAGTATAGTGAAGAACGCAGGCACATCCAACGTTACTAGAACCAGACCTGGTACTAATAACGTTGGGCACATCACTATCGGTTGTCTTGTGCTCGAAGATACGCGTTGCCTCATATCAGTTGGCGTATTGTAATCACGGTGGATAATTTGCAACTAGCGTGAGGCCTGGAGCGACGTCGGCGTTGTATAAAAACGTGCGCGAGGGAAAGAAAAAAAAAGTCCCTTTTCGGGAGCACAGCCGCCTCACCGACCTCGTAACGTTTTCGCAG